TATATTCTCCTTCTGACCCCGTGGCCAGCTCTCATTTACAGTTCTTGAACACACCCCATTTCCTTTTGGAATCATCTGGCAATATCCTGCATTCTCTCTGTGGCAGGCACAATGGCCTCTCAAACTCCTAATCCCTGGAACCTGTAAACATTTTCTATTTCATGACACCAGGGCCTTAGCAGATGTAACTAAAGGTACAGGTCTCAGGATGGTGAACCTGGGTTACCTGGGTGGTCCTGTCTAATCGCATGAACGCTTAAAAGCGGAGAACTTTCTCTGACTGGAGTCAGAGGGATGCCATAGAAGTCAGAGAGATTCAATGTTTGAAAGTTGCTTGGCCCACTGGTGCTGGAGGGGTCATATGGAAAGCATGGGAGGGATGTGGAAAGCCTCTAAGGGTCAAAGCCACTCCCCCTCCCCCAACTGACGGCCAGTAAGGAAATGGGATCTCAGTTCTACAATGGCAGCCAACCTCCTGAATACATCTGGAAACAGATTCTCTCCCAGAGCATCCAGTAAGGAATACAACTCTGCGGACATCTTGATTTCAGCTTTATGAGGCCTTAGCAAAGGACCTAGCTATCTTCCTGGACTTGTGACCTACAGAAACTGTGAGATAATATATGTTATATATGTTGTTTTAAGTCACTGAATTCATGGTGATCCATAATGCAGGAATAACAAACAAATATACACTTTGTCAAGTGGTCTAGAGCAAGCAGTTCTCAAAGTGTGTTTCCTGGAGGTGTTTCCCTGAGACCCTTCCAGGGAGTCTGTAAAGTCAAAACGATTTTCATAATAATGCTAACATGTAATATGTCTTTTTCACTGGGCTGACATTTGCACCAATAGTGCAAAACCATTGGCAGGCAAATTGCTGGAATCTTAGCTCCCATCAAGATGGTACTACACTTGACCAGCGGCCATTTTATTTGTCATTAATCACACACTTGCAGGAAAGAATGCATGGTTTCATTTAAGGATGTTCTTGATGGAGCAGAAAAATTAGTAGTTTTATTATGTCTTGACCCTTGAGTCCATGTCTTCTTCATATGTGGGGTGACAAAAGGCAAAGCGTGCATATGGAAGAGCTATGGCAGTCCAGCCAAGATGGTTGTCTCAAACAAAGGCACATGTGCCTTCGTGTTGTGACCTGAACCTGCTGCTTCTTTTTTTTTCCCCACGGAATGCCATTTTTCCCTGGGGGGAATGAAAAGACTGATATAAACTAGAGTTACTCAGATGTGGGCATTTGGGAGATCCTTTCTTGAAATTGAATGAAATGCATCTGTCACTTCAACAAAAACAACTGACAGTATTTGTTGCCAGTGAAAACATTTGAGCTTTCCAGCAAAAGATTAGAATTTTGGAAAACCCGAATCTGCCACTATAATTTGACAGATTCTCAATACTTAGTCTGTCTGATGAGACAGGCAGAGATATAATACAGCAAAACCATGTGAGTTTTTTGGTATTGTAAACTATGTAAGCATTGAGAACATCTAAATAAGTGAGTTGATCAGTATTTCCCAAGTGACTAATGCACAATGTTAGGAAGTCATGCATGGGTAAAAACATTAAAAATGCCAGGAAGGGTTTATTGATATGATTTCGTATTCCACATTGCAACTAACCTTTAAGAAGCGTGTTGAGATTTGGTGCAGTGAAAAGAATTAGCACGGTTATCTGAGAAGCCTGAAAATACTCTTCCCCTTACTAACTACATAGCCATGCAAGACTAAATTTTCTTTGTTGTGCCTCAACCAAATCATCATTTCACAACAGGGTGAATGCAGAAGGGGAGCTGGCTTTTATTAAGCAAGATGTACAATGTTGCTTGTCTCACTATTTTTGGTTGTTAAAATTTGTTTATTCATTTATTCATTCATTCATTTTTTTTGTAATCTCTACACCCAATGTGACGTCGAACTCACAACCCTGAGATCAAGAGTTGCATGCTCTTCTGACTGAGCTGCCTGGGTGCCCCGGAAATACAGTTGTTGATTTTTTTTTAACTTTATTTTGAAATATAGCTTTTTAAATAAAAATATTGTATTTATGTTAGGGTATAATGGATTTGTTATTGTTATGGAAATGAATTAATAAATATTTTGAAAATAGCAAATATCAATAGATATAAACCACAGAAATAAAATCTCTTTGGGGTCCCCAAGAATTTTGGAGTGTATGTTATCTACTGAGGCCCTGTGGAGGGCAGACCACACATGGGCATAACTCAGTGATTCCGTATTTGCCCTCCAAGCCAATTTAAGGCCAGAGGTATTTTTCCTTTGACTCTTACAGTTTGGCCCTTGTAATATTTAAAACAATTGTTGAATCCTGAATGAAATTACCATATTTACAAATTGTGAGGTTTTATGTGAAATACCACATTTTCCAATTCTCTTGGGAAACTGATGGGCTGGTTGCACTGGGTCCATGGTTGGGCAGGAACCCTCCCCCCCGGCCCCGCCCCACCCAGAGCCGGACCCTCTTTGGGACACATGTTTTCCAGTTTCTCTCCATCCTCCCCACACTCTACTCTTGATGCCCCTTGTTTAAACCTGTTCCTCCTCAGTTGCTGACATGGGTCGCTCAGCTCCTGGGAGCATTTGTGTTTGTAACATCAGATCCACAGGGTCTCCTTTGTAGCAGGAAGTTGGGAAGACGTGGTTGAGTCCTGGGTCTCCTCCACTGATCCCAGGGGGATGTTAGTTACATCACAACAGGCCAAGAGCCCACATCAAGAAGCTAAGATCACCAGATGAGACAGAAATTTTTGAAATGGAGGGAAAGGTCATGTGTTAAGCCTCATTCTCGTGAATGTCCCAATTACGTACTGCTTAATAGGGCAAGTAGATAGGTATAGTGCCTGGAGGGCAGCTGAATTGGGATCAGGAAATAGGCTCAGGAGCCAGGGTGTCTGTGTTCAAATTCTGGTTCGGTCTTTGATAGCTGTGTGACCTTGGGTTAGTTACCTAACCTCTGTAGGTCTGTTTTCTCATCAGCAAAAGGAGACTGGTAACACCATCTACCTCATAGGGCTGGTGGGAGAATTAAATGAGATGGTATACAGGAACCACTTGGAACATTACCTAGCACCAGTAAGCCTTCAATAATTGTTAGCGGCTGTTCCTATTCTTCTGAGAAGGGCTTCAGTCTGGCTATGAAAAGGAAAGGAAGCTGCCAGATGTTCTGGCCAAGCAAACTGGACTCTGTCCTTGTCATCCTATCTCACAGGTCCAAGGAATCCTGACATGAATGTAATAGATCCCAACAGATAACTGAGAATGACACAGTGCATCATTTTGATTGACAGCCTTAGCCACTTAATTCACCTGTTAAATTGACAATAGATTTGAGATCAATCATGAGGCACATTAACAAGTTCATTCATTCACTCACTCAATTAGTCATCTCTTTATTCACTAAATATCTACTGAGTGCTTACTATGTTCTAGGCCCATCAACATGGAAGCTCGTGTCCTGGTTTGGGGTTGGAAACCACCATCAGATAATTCTGTACAATAGGGTCTACGTATTTTAATCCCTTGTTTGTTAAAAACAATATCCTTTTGTTTCTATGGGACTGTGAAAGAACTAGTCCTAATCTGAGGGCACGAAATAATCCACTGGCGAATTGCTTTGAAAAGAGAAACAAGACTATCACTCTCAGAAAAAATTCTGTAAGTACCCAATTTATTCATAAAACAATACAGTTTAAATATTTATAATTTTTTTCAGTCGTACATTTTTTTTTAACCATCATTCCCAAAATGTTGTGCATTTGGCTGACATGTATTTGCAAGGTTAAGATCTATAATTATAACACTGGAAATCATACAAGGCATTTGATTTGCTTATTAATATTTCCTCCCGCAACAAAAAACAAACAGATCTATTTTGCCTTGTGATTTACTTCCCTATCTCTCTGACCAAAAGTAAGTTCCTTCTTGTGCCTTTCGTACCTGCAAAACACTTGTCCATTTCTCCACGAGAACAACACACAAGTGAAACATTCTTTCTTCTGGTTCAAGACTGGCCAGTTCATATCCACGCAAAACAATGATCCTAGGCATTTCATCTGATAGATTTTGCTCTCAGGAGTGATAAAAAGAGGCAACAAGATGCCCCACACTAAGCTTAAAGGTCAACTTGGTGGCCGGGTTTCTGGGGAGCCATACCGCACGGCCATTTGCCATGGACGAGTTGCCATGGTTGTGGTCCCACCAAAGACTCTTTGAAGTCATTCCTCAGGATTGACATAAAAACGGAACCATTCCCTTTGGGATTGTGTGATGTCCCCTTTGAGAGGGGAGAGGCTGGCGAGGAGGATCATTCCCTAGTCTGTTTAAGGAAGAGTTGTGACTAGAAAGCAGTGAGACTGATGTGGGGTATGCACCTTCTGGAGTCAGTCTCACTACTTTCTAGTCCCACCTCAGAGACAGGCGGGACTTTGTGCTACTGGCAGGGGAAAAGTGCCCTTCTCAAGCAGACTAGGTGCTTCCCTGTGTCAGATGGTCTCTGGGACAACACCGTAGAGTCTAGAACCTCAGAACTCTTAAGTGTGGACTACAATGGTTATCACCTGGGACCTTGTTAGAGATGCAGAATCTCGGACCCACGCACACCTGTTGCACCACAGTCTGATTTGTAACGAGATCCTCAGGTCATCTGGGTGCACAGTAAAGTCTGAGAGGTGCTGGGCTCGGTGCCCCAAACCCACTTCTAGAAGACTATGTCTAGGTGAGTAAACCTCTTCAATAAAGAGACCATTCATAGCAGGGAGGGATTATAGATAACAATTGCAAAAACAGTGTGTGTGTGTGTGTGTGTGTGTGTGTGTGTTTTATTTTAAACATGCAAAATACAGTCCATGCATCTGCCATTTTGAAAAGTCTCTCATCCTATAGCAGATAAAACCAAATTATGTTTTGGCTATCGACTTTCCATAAATGTGTCAAAATGCTTTACAGTGTAAAGATAATAAGAAATTTAGCAAAATTTCAACAAACCTGTATAAAAAACGGATACAGATAACATTTTATTTCAAGGCGACATGCTGTAATGTAAAGAGTAAGTTGTAATTATTCGTGTTTCTTTGTAAAAAGTCTTTAACAATACAAGAGCTTAACAGATCCAGGCCTCAGGGCTACACATGCAAAAAAAATTGTCAGTTAGTTAAAAATCACCGAAACGTGCTATTTTTTAAATGTGTACGTGTGTGTGTGTGTGTGTCTTTTTAAATACAGGAGTAGTAGAAGTATTAAATATTAGCAGGAATAGTATTTCAGAACTCTGTAAAAGTATGTGTAGTTCACGGTGCTAGCGTCCTGGAAGACTCATACATTTCCGATGAACATTTTGGCTTAATCCCTTTGCCATTGTAATAGTCCACAACTTGATTTGGGACTTCAGCCAACACGCTCTTTGCCAGGGCAGCTGGAGATGCCTGGAAGGAAGAAGAAAGCACTGTGACTTTGGCACCTGGCCCAAGGAATCTGATCCAGAATCAGCTTAAAGGCTGCAGTTTTACTCTGAGCAGCTAGTCTCTCTCTCTCTCTCTCTCATTCATTCATTCATTCAGTTGGTATTTGTTGAGTATCTACTCCAAGCAAGAGTTGTTAGATTGTTGGAAAATAAACCTTTTATTTCCTAGTTATATTTTCCCATGCTTGTCTCAAAATACAAAACTATTCACATCTGAATTTGGGTGAAAGTTGGACGGTGGAATGGATTCTCTTTGAGTTTTGTTTCCAATCTGCATTCAGTTCCAGGCACTGTGCTAGAGTTTACGGGTCTGTGGTTCTTGCCATTAAGTGAGTTATAAACATGAGAGGGGAGCCTGGTGTGGTCAAAATGAACACCGCCCTGAGACCGAACACAATACATGCTACAGACCAGCAGCATCACATCACACAGGAGCTCAACAGAAATATACAATGCTAGACCCATCCCAGAGTTATTGAATCATAATCTGCATTTTAACTTGATGCCCTAGGGTGATTCCTATGCATACTGAAATTTGAGAAGCACTGCTCTAGAGTTACAAACACCCTGGGACCAGAGCGCAGACAATGAAGATTAAGTCATCTTAGAGGAAATCACACCAAGCTTCCAAGGGGTGGTGGTGTTTCAGTTGGGCATGTTTTAAAATGTAGAGAAGGGGGATGACATTTGACCATTCTAAGTACAGTGAGTCATCTGATGGGGCTAAAGAAAGTGTGTGTGTGTGTGTGTGTGTGTGCTGGGGATGCAGGATTTTGGGGGTATTCAGTTGGACAATAAGCTTGAGCCCAGGTGACAGAGTGTCTTGAATACCACTAATTAATGGAGCCTTTATTCCATTAGCATTATGATCCCACTGCATGATTTGGGGCATAGGAAGGTGGAGGTTGGTATTCTGCATGGACTCTGGAGTCAGGCAGAGCTGGATCTGACTTCTGGCTCTGGCCTCATTATTAGCTATTATTGAAGTTGAAAACTTGAAGCAGAAGCACCAGTTAATGAGTGTTGGAGATTCCTCAGCAAAGGAAAGAAAGGGCTAGACAAAATGCCCAATGACCTGGTTTCTTGCTCTTTCCTTCCTTATGTGGCTTGCCACTCAGCCATTCGACTTGGCTAAGCCCCAGTGTTCTTAAAGACACGACAGCAAGGAATAGGGATTGGTTTTATCCTGCCCAGCTTTTAGGAGTTTCAAAAGAGAGACACTTATCTTAAAAACAATCTGAAAACATGGCGAGGAGTTTTTCTAAAGTGACCCCTCACATTTTGAAGATGTCCTAGCATGTGGGCAATCGGCATTCATGAATGCTCTTTTAGTTTATAAATGTCTGCTCAGAGTTTGGGTTAGAGCATGGTCCACACGTACACTGGGGTCACTATGAAAGTACCATCTTCTCTGACCACATCTCATATAAAGGCTAGAAAGCCAAATACTTCATTTCCCAGCCTTCTTTGCACCTAGGGATGGCCATATGACCCATTTTCTTTCTTTCTTTTTTAAATTTTTATTTTAAGAAGGCCCCACACTCAACATGGGGCTTGAACTCACAACTCTGAGACCAAGAGTCACTCACTCTACTGACAGAGCCAGCCAGACATCCCAATATGACCCAATTTCATCCTTTGAGACATAAGGATGCTTCTTGGAAAGCTTTTCTTTCTTGGTTAGAGGGGACAGCCATGGTTGGTTCTGTTTGCCTTTCCTCTTCCTTTTTTACTTTGAACTAGAATGTAATTCCTGGAGCTATGGGGACTGTTTTATCATCATGGGCAAACAGCAAAGGGATCACCAAGTGCTCGCCCTGATACTATCAAATCACTGAAAAAAAGATGTGGGCAGCTACCAGTCCCTAGCTTCTAGTTGCATAAGAACAACATATTTGTCTTTATACAATCTAGGGTTTCTCAATTTTGGCACTATTGCCATTTTGGGCCAGATACTTTTTTGGGTGGGGAACTGTCCTGAACATCGTAGGATGTTTACCAGCACTCCTGGCCTCTACCCACTACATGCAAACAGCACTCCAAAGCTGTCACCATCATAAATGTCTCCAGATGTTGCCAAAGTTGTCCCTGGTTAAGAACCACCTGTGCAGGGGCTACCTGGTTGGCTCAGTTGGTTAAGTGTCTGCCTTTGGCTCAGGTCATGACCCCTGGGTCCTGGGATTGAGTCCTGCATCGGGCTCCCTGCTCAGCAGGGAGCCTGCTTCTCCCTCTGCCTGCTGCTCCCCTGGCTTGTGCTCTCTCTCTCTCTCCCTCTCTGTGTCAAAAAAATAAATAAAATCTTAAAAAGAACAACTTGTGCAATCCACTGTAAGATAGATTTACTGTTATATGAAGCCAGTGATATCCCTAAACAGTGCTGTCAAGCAAAACTTGGTCCAGTGATGGAAATATTTGACATCTGCCCTGTCCAATGTGGTAGTCACTAGACACTAGATTGAGCCCTGAAAAACTGAATTTTATTTTTTAAGATTTTAAAAATTATTTATTTATTTCTTTGACACAGAGAGAAAGAGACAGAGAGGGAGAGAGAAAGTACAAGCAGGGGGAGCAGCAGGCAGAGGGAGAAGCAGGCTCTCCGCTTAGCAGGGAGCCCGATGTGGGACTCGATTCCAGGACCTGGGGTCATGACCTGAGCCAAAGGCAGACATTTAACCCACTGAGCCACCCAGGTGGCCCTGAAAAACTGAATTTTAAATTTTGTTTCATTTTAGTGAATTTAAATTTAAATAGCCCTATCTAGCTATCTGTCACTGTATTTAGACAGTACAGTTTTTGAATGACTCTCCCACTCCTTTGCATATCTGGGCTGGTGGGTCTGGTAAGCAATGAGGGCTTGGGGGCATTATCTGGTTGGGAAAAGGCCAAAAACATGAAAGCAGCTGGTACTAGCAGCTCATTTATTAGCCACGTGCGAGGACCAGGTGCTGTGCTAAGCTTTACATAGGCACCACTTTTACTCTTCTAACATGTGTGTCGTTTGCCTCATTTTAAAGATGAAAGTCTGTGGCACAGACTTAAATAACCTGCCCAGAGCACACAGCTCTGAGTCTGTGCCCTGTCCACTTCAAAGTTGAGTTATCATGCAAAGGGAGGCAATTCATGCGTTTCTGGCTTAATGGAAAGGATGTTAGCTCACCTTTCATTTTATTTACTGTGTATTAAATTCAGAGTAGATAAGTTCGGATAATATGGTTTTCAAACCCTAAGCTGAAGTCCATGCAGGTAAGGGCTGTGACATGCTCCTGGTGTTGCTTTTATCACCCACAGAGCAGCTGGAGATTGTGTGGCAGACACAGGAGAGCAGAACCCCATTCCCTTGCCCTGGTCAGGGTGCTTCCCTTGTCACTGAGAGCCCCACCCCAACTCCCTGCCCACCAGAGGTCTGTCCTTCCTCTGGCCAGCGTAAGCCTCGAGGCTTTCCTCACCGCTGCTCCTCTCTGCTCTCAAGTCCTGTGGCAACACTGGGTCCCCACAGGTTGCTTTAGCATAGGAGTTTTCTGGGGACATCTACATCCCAACCATGTCATTCTCTGGTGTGTTCCTTGAGGCCCGGACCCATGCCTTTATAATCTCACTGTGGTCCCAGGCTAGCATGTGCCGCACCCACGGCAGGCGCTCCAGGAGTGTTTGAGGAACAGGAGGAGGCTGTGGGGGAGAGGCAGGAACATGCATGGCATGCAGGAACAGAAAGATGGTGGTTTGGGGAAGTACACAAATCCCCTAGGGAGGGAGATCTTTGACCCCTCTGCACTCATGCGGAGTTATGGGTGGTGGTCGGTGATGTGGCTACTCCTGCCTGGCTGGGAGGAAATGGGGAAGGACCTGAAAGTCTGGAAGAACTACCCCCTTTCCCCACTTTGGGCATTATGCAAGTAAGTCACTTCACTGATGAGCACAAACTGTGGCAAATTTCACCCATTTTAGCCCATCCCTCCCCGATACCCTTCCTTGCTGTCTACTTGCAAACAGCCTGAGGGCTTGGTGAGCCTCTTTTATTTAGCAAGTGGTTTCATTTGGAAACAGTCCCCTTGTGCAGATTGAAGGGGGGCTATGGTAGCACGGCTAAGCCCCTCACCCACGCTATTGCCCCTGTGCTTGCTGGGGGCTTGGGTGTTCTTGAACTCCCTTTGCATTCAACACTGTAGCCAGGGATTGATTTCAGGCTCCTCTAATGATGCTCATGACACATAGTCCTCCTTAGAAGGAGAATCGCAATTGTGCGGCATTACCGTTAGGAGTAATGCCTTATTGTTCCGGGAGCCCTGGCGTGTCCAGGGATCTCGCTAAGCGGTCCTGGCAGGCCAACAGATGTAGGGTTCACTGGAGGCTACTGAGCTCATTATTTATCTGAAAGTTTGCTTTAAGGCATGTCCCAAGAAGGTGGCAAACAACAGTTTATGAAAAGCATATGCTAAATGCTCTGATGCCAGCACTGGAACTTGTCGATAATCAACAATGATCCAGCCATCTTTCCACTAGCCTTACCCAGCGTGGCTGGTGTGCTGGTGTGAGCCCAAACTGGGATTCAGATATTTCTGGACATATCTGATAAAGTGGCTAGGAGAACAAAAAGGATTGCTTTGAATGAGGGCTCTTGGCTTGAGGAGAAAGGCTTTTCCAGAAAGTATCAGGAGGGGAAGCTCATAGTGGATGTCACAGAGCCTGTCCTTCCTCACCCTGACTCTAAATAAGTGACTCCAGGCCTGAGCTCAGAGGGGCTGGAGAGGAAGCGAAGGACATTTGTGGCAGGGGTCCTGGAGGCATAGGAATGCAGACTTCACTGCATTAAGGGTCCAGATAACAGAAGGGTTTCCAAAGGAAGGACACTTGTCCCTTCCCAGGGGACTGCAGGGTCTCTCAGGGCACCGAGAGTTCTGGAGATTGCCTCCCACTGGGGCAGCCTCAGTTCAGTTACCAGCCCTGGGAGCAGCCTCCCTGGCACCCCACGCAGAGCAGAGGTCCAGGCCTCGGTGGACAGAGTGGCTTCCATGAGGGGCACAGGACAGAAGAACACAGAAGACTGCCTGTGAGGACCTACTTGACTCCCAGACACAGCTGGCAGAGGCTCTGAAGGTTCTTCAGGGCCTCTACCGGCACAGAGGGATCCCTTGTGAGAACCAGAGAAGGGGTTACCCTGGGCCATTGTAGCCCTACGGGTGCAGGGTTCTGTGTAAATTTTAAAGGTGCCTCTTCTTCTCCAGAGTTGACAATTATCCCAGATTCCGAAATGCTGAAAAATTGTGCCATGCTAGAGCATTGTCTCATGGGCCTGCTTCAGGGTCATCTGGGGACTGTGACACTGCTTGAGTTACTCTTCATTACTGATGGGAACCCAAGAGTGTAAAGCTCAATGTTACCTTGCAGAAAACTGATAAGATTTCTGCCCAGTAGAGAAGGTAATATAAGATGACGAGGATGATTTTATAACCCTTTTGGTCATTAACCAGTTTTGAAGCTGCCTTAAGAAACTTGTTCCAGGGGCGCCTGGGTGGCTCAGTGGGTTAAAGCCTCTGCCTTCGGCTCAAGTTGTGGTCCCGGTGTCCTGGAATCGAGCCCCACATCGGGCTCTCTGCTCAGCAGGGAACCTGCCTCCTCCTCTCTCTCTGCCTGACTCTCTGTCTACTTGTGATCTCTGTCAAATAAATAAATAAAATCTTAAAAAAAAAAAAAAGAAACTTGTTCCAGTATTCCCCCCACCCCCACCATAATCTGCTATTTTATACCCTCCCTTGAACTAGCTTTGCCATCTTTCTGGTTCCCTCATTAGTGAGTTAAATAAATCTTTGATGCTGCCTATGGTATATTTGCAGAGGATTTAGGTTACTATCATCTCAAGAATATATTTTTCCAAGGCAAACACAGGCTTCTCTCAGCGTACATGGCTTGACAAAAAGAAGCCACGCTGAAGTTCAGCTTTTCTTTGCTACTTCAACCAGGCACCCTTGGGCAGCAAGCAACCTGGCCAACAGTACATGGCAGCCCTGTGTGCACTAGAGAGCCTAAATGACATGGAGGAGGGGAAGCACCAGTGAAGTATTGGCTGCCACGTTTAGCGTGACTCCTCAGCTATTACTTGAGTTACACGCCTTTCTCCAAATAGCGAAGCTCTACATATCCTGGGTGTGAGACAGCGTGGCTGGGCAGGGATAGCTGACATTGCTTCACCCCAAACACTGGCAGGAAACCGTGGGAGCAAGTTTGCTTTGATCTCCTCTCCCATGGGAAGCCCCAGACATATGCGTACGTGTTTGAAGTTCCTGAAGGGCACGAACTGGACGATGTCTCGAAGGACAGGCTCTCCCTTGGGTGACCTCAGAATGCCGTCGTCCCCATCTAGCATCTGCATGTCACTGAAGTCCGCGTTGCCTACGCCGACGATGATGACCGACATGGGAAGGTGGGAGGCATGGACAATGGCCTCCCGGGTGTCGGCCATGTCCGTGATGACACCGTCGGTGAGGATCAGCAAGATGAAGTATTGCTGGGATTGACCGGTGGCCAGGCGAGCATGGGGACAGGGAGGTAGGGGAGACAAGGACAACACCAGTTATGCACCCGGGTGGCTTCCATGCGTCCTGACCACAGTGACAGTGCTGATAGTCTTTAATGAGTCCTGTGTTGGCAGCCCTAAATACTTAAAGCTATGATGAATGGAGCTTCAACACAGGCAGAGTAATCATGGGGTAATTCTAAGAATCACTTCAGTGAGCTACATGGCACAATGTGGTGGACAGAACAGCAGGGGGAGTCAGGACAGGCTGGCCTCAAAGCCTCTACTGTCTGAGCTCCTGGGAAAACTTAACCTCCCCTGGGTCTACGCCTCTTCATCTCCTGAGGAGTGGGACTAGATCATTTATCCCACCCTCTTCAGCTGGGGGAATTTTCAGAGTCCACAGCTGTACTGCCCAGTACAAAAGCCTCTAGCTCCTTGTGCCTACTGAGCCCTTGAGATGTGGCCAGAGTAACAGAGGCACTGAAATTTAAATTTTATTTCATTTTAATGAATTTAAATTTAACCTTCAAAACAGAGACTTGATTCATTTATTGGAAACCTTTCAAATGCATTTGGAACAACTCAGGTATGTGACTAGTTTCTCAACTATTAATACATAAAACCTAAATAAAGATCAAGTATTTGCAGTGATGATTTAGTATCCAAACTAAGGTGACTTAAGTACAAAATTCACATGGGCTTTGAAGACTGAGTACAAAAGAAAGAATGCAAAATATTTTATTAATAATTTTTTTAGATGGAAGACAAATTAAGATGAGAATACTTTGGTTATATTGGGTTAGATAAAATATATGATTAAAATTAATTCCCTTAATTCTTTTAACTTTTAAACATGTGGCTACTGGAGAATTTACAATTGCACATACAACTCCATTATATTTCTAGTGGATAGCACTAGCCTAAAACCTTGCTAGCAGGGGGTGTGGGTTGTTGCCTCTTCCCCTGAGGGCCACACACCAGGGTCTGGTCTAGTTTGAGTGTGCTTGTGGGTGCTGAGCTCCTGTGGTTTCTTGCTCCAAATCCCAACTCTCTGCCTGCAGCCTGCCTGGTCTCTTTCCACCTGGACAGGCTCTCAGGTGGCTCATCTGAGAGTGAGACTGGAGAAGACATTCTCTATCCATCAGCACAGGGAGGGCTCAGGACTTGCTCTGGGGTCTAGAGAAGGAAGGCATCAGAGATCATCACTATTGTCAATGTTAAGTGTTAAGTGACATTATGATGGCATCTACTGAGAGATCAGAGGGATGCAGGGCACCGGGATGCCAATTCATGCCAATCTAATGTAATTTTTGCAACATGCCCAACATCTGTAGTAAATGTGGGATTTTTAAGGCATTTCAAGTTGCCATATTTCAAAGAGGAAAGGCTGGATAGAATAGCTACACTCTGAAAACACCTGGTTTTGAGAATCATACTTAAAAGGTTACACACAGGCTGTTAGTATTAAAAGGCTCCCGCTTCTCTCTGTAAGTTGGAAAGATATTTGAAACAAAATAACATGTCAAAAGTACACCTGGAGGGAATAGAAATTCACACTATTATGAGACAGCCATATGTTCTAAATACTTTCTATATAGTTTAATGTAAAGACTAATTTTGTTCCATGTCCACTAGCTGCCCAACCCTGGTTCTAGCTAACCAACCAATTTTCAAATTCATCTGAGTTGTACATTTTCATCCATATCCATGCTTTGAGTCATATAGAGTCACAAAAAAGGTGGCTTGGGAGTTTGGAGGAAGGTTTCAGTAGCATGACCTGATGGTACAGCTAGGAAGGGGAAGAGAAGGGACAGAAGGAGGCAACTTGGTGGTTGGGGATAGAGGGAAAGAGTGTAGAATACACCAGAATCATACATCACTCTTCCAGGGTACACCTTGGATGCCTCACCTGGAGGGAAACTGCTTCTGACCCATGAGCAGATGGAGTCCTTGCGTGAGTCACACTTCTATGTCTTCTCCCTCCTTTTTCCACATCCCCCAACTCCCATTTGATATGATCTTTGTGGTCTAAGGGGATGGACCACCCCTACCTGCTCAATGCCTCCAGGAATAAAACACCTGATAGCCACACTACCACATCAAGAAACTTTAGAGTTGAAATGGCCTAGAGACAGTGTTGGGAAAATATTTTCTGTAAAGGGACAATCATCAATATTTTTGGCTTTGCAGGCCATGGTGATCTCTGTCCAACAACCTAACCTTGCTGGTGTAGTGTGAGAATAGCCGTATTTATCACTTAATATGAATAGCATGGCTGTGTTCTGATAAAAATTTATTGATGGACACTGAAGTTTGAATATCATGTGATTTCCACGTGGCATGAAATTATTACTCTTCTTTGGATTTTTTCCCCAACCATTTAAAAATGTAAAAGCTGTTCTCAGCCTACAAGCCATTGAAAAACACACTACAGAATGCAGTTTGTTGGTTTTTCATCTAGAGCAGGGATTTCATTTTATTTTTTAAAGATTTTATTTTTAAATAATCTCTACACCCAACAGGGGGCTCGAACTTACAACTCTGAGATCAAGAGGTGCTTGCTCTACCAACTGAGCCAGCCAGGAGTCCCTAGAGCAGGGATTCTTGACCTGGGCTGGTGGACTGCTGAAAGATTTCAGACAGTATGTGAACTTGGGGTAAATTACATTTTAGTTTCGCTAACCTCTAACTAAAATTTATAATTTTTTTCAATTATAATCAACAAATAAAATTGGTTTTAACTGCGCTTGTGACTTAGTCACCACTAGAAATCACAGGGTATTTTCCTGTTATAGTGACCGCAAATATCTTCCTATATCATTTATATCAACACTACTTAGAAATTATAGAATTGTTAGACTAGTTACCGGTTCTCATAATTTAATGTTAACAAAAGAAACATTTTATTGTTATACGTATCATGCTTCTTAGCCACATTTAAAAATCTTTTGCTGAATGCATTTCAACATATATGGTTTACTTATAACATATATTTTATTTTGTGCATTTAAAAGCATTTCTGAGAAGGGGTCCATGGGCTTCACCAGTTATTAATGGTGTTCATGAAGCAAGAAGTGTCCAAAACCTCTGATCTGAAGAGACTGTCAGGATTCTAGAATCTGATTTTTCAAGGTTCAATCTAGCTAAAGGTAATATGCTGCAGACTGCTGGACTGACATCTTGATGGAAATTTCCAATAAAGCGAGCAGTAGTAGTTGCTTCTAAAGTCAGGCTAGAAAATGCTCACAGATGAAATACTATAGTCTTTGAATGAACTTGAGGTCCTGTTTAGATAAGGGGGGGATTTTTGTTTTGTTTTTAATTTGTACACGAGTTCCACAAAAATTGAGAAGAAAATCTGACAGCCATAGATTCCTTGCACAACCTACCAAGGAGGTTCAAGGTTAGGACCCTTAGCAATCAGTAATAACAAGGGTCCCTGGACCACACACAACTCAAAGAACAGGGAATATCTTTGGGGGAAAAACATCAGTGTTTCTGGCCTCTAGGGTAAATTATCTGGGGCTGTGTGGATTAGATGCTTCCTCTACCAATTCCTGACCTGTCCTTTCAGAGCAGACCCACCTGACCTTGGTGGAGGGAGTCATGATCAAAAACTCAAGCTGGCTTATATCAGGCCAGGATCCAGACCCATGTCAGCCATGTTCTCTTTTTATTCTTGTGGGTCCCAGTACTCCAGAAGGGCTGGGATCAATCAGTTTTCAAATTGGGTTCTGGGGATCCCTGGGGATACCTTGGATGCTCTTGGGGATAAAGGAGGTAAAAGAGAACAGCCAAGTTTGAGCTCCATCTCCCATCCAGATTTAGCAAGAAAAGTCTACTTTCTTAAAATCTACTTTATATGTTGGGTTTCTGAGTCAAGTTATCATTTGAAGAGTTTGAATTTGAAGTTCTGGTGATGAAAAAAAGTAAAATAAAATAAAATAAACTGAAATACTGATCCTGTCCAACCCTTATTTCTAAATCATGCATCTGTGAGGATTCAAATTTGTTCCATGGCCGCTGTGTGTTTGGCTAGATGGAGGTGCCACTGACGTTGAGAAGTATAATTTTCAGACAAATGTTGGGGAGGAAACTCTTACTGGTATGGGAGGATGGAGACAGTGAGGAAGACTTTCCTTGTGTTTTGAAGGAGAGGAAAGGGTCATTAGCTAAAGGGTAAAGTAGTATCAAGGGAGAGAGTTTAATTCAAATAGATATTATAGCCTGTTCCATTTGCTAATGGGAATGAGTCTTCAGTAGAAAGGGGAAACAGATGATAAGGAGAGAAGGGGAACATAACTGCTGTGTCAATGTCCTTGGATAATTGAGAGGGGATGTGCCCCAGTACATAAGAGATTGACATCAGATATGAGCATGGTCCTCCATCCATTCTAATATGAGGATGGCTGAGAACCTGGTTACAGTGCAAATAGCTTGGATGAATTCATGTCAGCAGATGAGGGAGAAGTATATAATCTTCTTCATGCAAATGCAGTATCTTGGAACCCAGGATAAAAATTAGAGAAAGTTCCAGACATTGCTAATATTCTACTAAATCTGAAAAAAAAAATTAAGAAAGCTAGAAAAGAAACATATTGGTATCATTAAAGATATATAGAAAAGTTATTATGGTAATATTTAATTCTAAAATTTTAAGGTTAAAAAAAAAAACTCTGTTTGGACTTGTTGCCTTGGTTTGAATTTTTCTTAAGAAAACCATGAACAGGGGCGCCTGGGTGGCTCAGTGGGTTAAGCCTCTGCCTTCAGCTCAGGTCATGATCCCAGGGTCCTGCGATCGAGCCCTGCATCAGGCTCTCTGCTCAGCAGGAAGCCTGCTTCCCCTCCTCTCTCTCTCTCTCTGCCTGCCTCTCTGCCTACTTGTGATCTCTCTCTCTGTCGAATAAATAAATAAAATATTAAAAAAAAAAAAAAAAGAAAACCATGAACAGAATGTGAAACAAGTCTTTGCCATGATGGATTGTGTTGTTGCATTTGACCACAAGGGGACAGATGCACCCATTCTTTTACTTCAGTTTTGCTTTGCTTTCATCAGTAGTATGGATACATTGGAAAGGAAGCTAATTTTGGACAGTTCCCACCACCCCTCACCCCTGTAATGTTGCAGACATTTGAGATGTGTCATCTCTAAGCCTCACAATAACCCAGCAGACTTGGGTAGGATTATCTCCATTTTTCAGATGAGGAGACTGAGGATAAGGGAAGGGTAAGGCATTTATCCAAACTCACACAGGTAGGAATGTTTGGATTTATTGTCAGAGTGGGGTGGGTGCTATGGCCAAAATCCAGGTAAATGCCTGTTAGCAGGAGGAACGGCCCTCTCCTTACCGATGCCTCCTTGGTGTTAGTTTCCTCTGATGCTGACTTGGCGACCTTCTGAATGATGGGGGCGATGTTGGTAGGACCGTAAAGCTGGAGCTTAGGAAGGCAGCTCTGATAGGCCTCCACAACTCCTTGAATTCCTAAGGTGAAATTAGCAAAGATCAGTAGTTCAGTAGTCCTCTCAAATATAAGTATAATCAAACACACACAGAAATAAAGCATTCAGTTGCTCCCCAACAGTCCTTCTCAACATCACACTTATATCCTTAAGGCAAAAAAGAAAATACCACATCCCTGGTGTTGCCTACACTCCCGCTGATGTTCTCTTTAAAAGCGCAAGTCAAAAGCAACCATTTCCACAAACTTTTCCCTAATGTCTCACTTTACACACATGATTTTGTTAGATCCTCATAGCCAAAGAAACAGATGTTATACCCCTTTTATAGGTGAAGAAGCTGAGGCTCAGAGAGGTTAAATGATCTGCCTCAGGTCACACAGCCAGGGAGTTGAAATCTCAAGATTCAAGCCCAGGTCTTGTCTGGCTCTATCTATCTAAAGGCTGTGTTCTCAGCCATCAAGCAATTCAGCTCTAATGTTTCTCTCATTTTCACACCACCTCTTGAGTCTGCTCTAATAGGTACCACCCCTGGTCGCCCGTAGCAGTCACGTGTACATCGCTTCATCATCATTATTTAATGGAAACAATGTTGAGGAATTTCTACCTGGAAATAATACAATACCTCCCAAAGCCTTTGAGAAGGCTCTTTCTGGCACAAAACCATGAAGCTACTTGTTTGACGTCATATCCTTTGCCAGCACACTGAAAGTGTCAAATGCTTTCCACGTTTCCTCCCTCCTTATTCCTTCACAGAGAGGAAGTTGTGATAAATGAACACCTAATGAAAACTTAGAAAGCAGAAAGAGGCATAGCTTTTCACTGCCCATTGGGTAATTTTTCTCCCCCAAGTTTTTCTGGTCAGAGAAGAATTGTTATCAATATTCTTGCTGTAAGCTTAAGACCTCTTCTGCATTCTGCCTCTTAGAGCTATTTTTCTGCTCTGTTATTATGGCTCTCCATTGTCTTTGGAGTAGCATGGTTTCTCTGGATCCAGGAAGCCTGCATCAGAGCAGAGAGATTAAAATGGGAAAGGTACCCACAGAAGGGCTGTGAGCCCTCAGCTTGCTTTCATGTGTGATTTACCTGCACATTCCGGGTTGTCTTCATTAAAGTTGATTGCGAAGTCGTGAGAGACCTAGACACCAATTAAAATTTAAAAAAGGAAGAAAGGAGAATTATAACTTTAATCCAGTAAGGAGGCACTGGAGTTTAGAGTTTGCAAGCAAATGCCCATTACATTCATTATGTGTTAAGCAGCAGGAACCATTTTAAGCCTTTACACAATCAATCTGAGATGGAGGGTGAATTCCAAGCTCCCTGTGGAGTTGAGGTGACAGGAAGACTTTCTAGAATCAGATAAATGCCGGCAGGAGAGAAGAATAAGGCAAATAAAAAAGAAATCGAAGAAAAATGTAACTCCAAATAGCTTCCAGATAGAACTGGCCACAGCCTGGAGGCTTAGATCTGGCCGAGCTCTATTTAGACGCAGTGATAAAAACAATGAGAGCTCAGTAACGCAAGCTGCCTGCCCAACATGCTGATGGTTATGAAGGTGCCAGCTAAGCCGTTGACATTTAAGAATTGTTCTAACATGATATGCAGAAATATAGGGCAGAAGGATTTTCACATATACACAGGTTAAAATAAACTCTACTCTTGGAAAAGTAATAAATACAGTTTTTCCTCTTCCAACACAATTTCCTCTATCTGGCAGGAGCTATGCATAAGGTCAAAAAAGATATTGTTTACTTTTTGGTTTCTAAAACCTGATAAGAGGACATGTTTATTGGATCATTTGGAATTATACAGAGACTTCTTCCATTTCAAAGGCTATTTCCAAGCACTAACTCTTTTGGGGGCTAGAAGATAGGTCATTGCGTTACAAGACCCCTCTTTTCTTAGTATTGGTGCCCTACCCCACATTTCCTTGCCCTGAGCACTTCCAGGCAAGTCAGTTGACTTCCAATCATCTTACCTGCTTTATTTACCTTGAGTTTTTCTCAGGCCTGCCTAGCTGAAAGTATTGGGAAACCAACAGCCCTGGGGAGTTGTCCTTAATCACTCACTGGATGACAGGATATGGTGTATCAGTACCCCAGCTGTCTTATCTCTTGGGGTTTGTGCATGCTCTGCATGATCTCCCTGGGGCCCCCAGCAGAATTAAGTTCCAACTGCCCACAGAGGTAACTGACTTGCCAGCATACCCTGTGTTGACTTGCCCCCATTTCCCCACTCTCTGTTGAGGTTTCCTTCACCTCTCAAATAAACAACTTGCCTCCAAATCCTTGCCTCAAGGTCTGTTCCCAGGAAAGTGCAAACTAAGATAGAGGTGCTTGTGGCTCAGTTTCAAGGCAAACTCTGAGATTTCATCCTACAGAAGGCAATTGTGACAAACTCTCTGGCGCACCTGACAGGATGAGACCATCAGTGCCTGTCATGGCGTAGGGGGAATTAGGAGTGGGAAAAGGGGCATTTGCATGACTTTTTGAGAACAGCAATGAGGATACGGGAGGGATGTCTGTTAAGACAGAAGGAAGAATAAGTTAGCTGGCAGGTAGCATGGAGTCAAGGGATCAGGTGAGCATGAGGATTTCAGAAAATATCAAAAAGGATGAGTTACACCAGGAGGGGGGCCAGGTAGATGTCATAGATGAGAAAAGGAGGGGCTGAAACAAGTGCACTGCACACCTCTGACCTTAGCCCTGCTGGGCCAGGCTGAGACCAGAAAACTACCTGGTGGGAATGTGGTGAAGAATGTTCTAGCATCTCTGGGTAGTTGGACTGGTGGTTGCTTTTATGCCTTTTTTTTTTTTAAGATTTATTTATTTATTTGAGAGAGAGAGAGACAGGGGAGGGGTGGGCAGAGGGAGAGGGAGAGACTCTCAAGCAGCCCAATACAGGGCTGAGTGCAGAGCCCAATACAGGGCTCGATCTCATGACCCTGAGATCATGACCTGAGCTGAAATCAAGAGGTGGATGCTTAACCAACTGAAACACACAGGTTCCCCATAGACCGGTGGTTTTTGACTGGTCATTCTCAAAGCTCAGCAGCTCTGGGAAGAAGGCTGGCACCCATTTGTCCAGATTCTGGATTTGATACCCCATCTAAAGGTGACTGCATCTCCTCAGTTCTGGCTAATTCTTATATGTATATTCTTTGAATCTTAGTGTTGCCAGGTCTTCCAGTTTTTCTGGAGAAGCAAGAAATCTAACATTGTAAATGAAATTGCATAATTCTTTAAAAAAAGTTGTGTCAGATATAATACATTTGTGGCCTGAATAATGTCTACAGGCCACCAGTCAGCAGCTCCTGTTCTATGTTCTTCCTCTGCATGTGCTCAATTTCCAACAAATGCTTCTAGAATTCTGTAGCCATGCCCGGGAGGGAAGACAGTGTCGGTTTTGAGGCCAACAAGAAAGAGGACAGGTCAGAGAGACACGCCAGTCCATCCACTGTTCACCCCAGCAGTAACAGGGATTTGGATTCCCTTTTTTCAAAAAGGACACAGGAGGGGAAGGCCGTTGGTCTGAGAGGTCTGGTGTGGGAGCAAACATCAGCATTTTTCTCCTGCTCAGCAACTCAATCAGTAAAAGAGAAACTGATGACTGAGCAGTATTGCTTCCACTTAGCATGTACCTCACAGGAATTGGTGAGGCTGGGGTAGGGACATTGCTTTCTCTCCAAGGCCCTTCTACCTGTGGGAGCAGAATTCTCTGTGGAGAGTGTCCCACAGGACACTGGTATACCACAGCACAATGTTTCAGCTCCCCTGCAGTGCAAATCTCTCTTCACAATCTTTGCCTTCCTTGTTCATGAGAAATCAGTACCAACTAGGACACCAGTGTTTTCACAGAACCTTCCAGCTTCCCAGTACTTGAAGCCAAAACGGTTCTCCTTCAGGACTTCACTGTTTCTCTCCCCCACATAGGCCAGCTCAGGGACTTGGAATGAGGGAGTCTGTAGACATCCTTGTCATGACCTTTCACTGTTGGCATTGTCAGTAGGACCTTTCTCTGGGGCAGACCTGAATAGATAGGTTCTGAGCCAGTGGAGATCAGCTTCCTGAGTATTTTCTCAGTCTCTGACCATATCTATTAAAGAAGCTCAACAATGGAACCTTTCATTCGGACCTCTGAGAAGACCCATCTGGAATACAGGAGATTGAGTTTCATCAAAAGATAGGTACCAGTGAGCTAATCCCACTGGTTCTGAAGACCATTTCTTAGTTTTTGGGCTCTACTTACATAATTTTATCAAGGGCCAAAAGAGTGAACGCCTATGAAGGAATCCCAAGTCATCCTTAGGCTACAGCAAAGGATCTCTACTCACTTACCGTGTACTCTGGCGGTATCCTGGCACCAAACCCAAAGGCTGGGAACATTTTGTCACTGGAAAAAAAAAGAAGAAGTTGCTTCATTTGTTCATCTAATCAGGAAGAAAAACATGAACCTGCATTACCTCACAAGGACATGTTACTATGCCAAATGCTGACTCATGCTTCTTGATTATCTGTGGTAATGGGATAGCAGTAGCACGGGTAATTAAAATCAAGAAGGAAATCCCAAAGTCCTATAGTCATTAGTCTGCAATTTCTTCCCATAACTTTTTGCTAGATTTGATACTAAGGAATAAAATGGCCCAGGATTGCCTCACCTCCCCTACCCATTTTCTGTCTTTGAAAAGTGGTCATGAATTAGGTAACTTCAGTGGTTAATTATTAGGGTTTTTCATATATGTTATTTTTAAAATCTTTGTAGGGAGAGACCATTATTCCCATTTCCCAGGTGGCAAAATGCCTTGGGAGGTAAAGTGACTTATCCAAGATCAGGCTGCTAGTTAGAGCCAGGGTTCAAATCCAGACAAGTCTAAATCCAAAGAGATATTAAAAGTCAATGGGAAGCTTGGAAGGCTGGCTAACTGTCAGGGCTTGGTACCATCTACAGGACTCATTGTGTCCATTACTTTAACTCATACAAACAATATAAACTGTTTACATATCTTTTCTTATCTTCTGAATGCAAAGGGATGTTGCTTTTTTTTTTTGCATTAATAACTTTACATCCCCACTGCCTCTCTGTCCCAAACTGCCCCTTGCCCCTCTCTTCAGCATACTTGCCATAGAGTATGTGCACAATAAATATTTAACAACTAGATAACCCATGAACTGAATCATGGCTTGGTTTCTCTTATGCATACTGAAATTTCTCTCTTAATTTATTCATTCACATATGTTATATTAACTCCAACTTTACTGTACTATAGGTGAGATGATGGGGCAAAGAAATAAAATTAATTGGTACATACAATGTGCCAGGCATGATGCTAGACAATGTACATTTTTATTTAATTCTCATGCAACCCTTGAAGTTCCACCTCTTTACTAGTCCTGCTTACAGATAAACTGAGTCTCAAAAAGGCTAAGAAGATGGCCAAAGGTGTTTACCAGGGAGGACCGTGTGATTCTAAAACCCATGCCTTTCCTGTTGTCCCATTATAATTTAATGATTGTATATAGCATTACATGTGATTTCCTTCCGAAACGTCCAGTAACAGGGCCCCCTGACCAGACAAGTAAGACTCTCTTTAGGCAAACCTTTGTTGCAATGGGGCTCTGGAATATTGTTCTTGGCAGAGGCATATCCTTTTCATGCCATCTACCTTTTACATTCTCTCCCATTAAAAATACAACTGAGATTTGTTCTTGGAACAATTTCTACATTTCTCAGCTCTTTGCAGAGTTAGTAAAGGAGGAAAGGAAATTCAGATTAGGGCTCGCTGTCTCCGAATGGCTCTGTCAACCAAAGGGGACCCTACCCCCCAAGGCTGACAGAGTAGTCAAAGTAACAAAGCCAGATTTTTACCCATCACCATCGGACAGATGTAGAGGTCATTAGTAGCCAATGATGACTTTGATAACACTTCACTAAAATACGGCAAAGTCAAGCAAATTTGGAGTAGGGGTTGGGAGATACAAGGAAGCCAGCATTCTTTGGAATTAGTCAAATTCCCCAGAAAACCACCAGCTCTCCATTTTCCTCACTATTGTGCAGGAACAGGCTTTGTGCTGCATTGCATCTAGCATTTAGTAGAAAAGGTATTAATAGTGGTAAATAGAAAAGCACAGCATCTTATAAAGGATTAGTCACAGCTCTGAGAAAAAAAGATACTTCAGGTCCTTGGAAATACTGAAATACATTGCCTCAGTAATTCCTCCTTAACCAAAACAAGGGCGAGCAGGTATGAAGAGGAATCTGTGAGGGAGAGTTCAGAGGTACTTTGGGGGCAAGTCTGGAAAAACATTATCCAGGGTGGAGAATGGGTCCTGGTTCTTCCAACCTGTAGATAGCTCAGAAGTCCAAACAGGAACATAGGGGGCTCCACACCTTTTATTTTTTTCTTTGATGAGTCTAGGAAGGGTGAGATCTAATATTCTATCCATTGCTAATCACTAAACCAATGTTCCAGCCTTAATGATACTCTTTTTATACCTTCTAAGCCACGCTTGGGGATTTGAAGTTTGCTGAGCATGATGCACTGTTATGTAATTGAATTTCAAAAGCAGGGAGGTAGGGAAAATGCCTCACCCTACAAGAGGAATAATTAATGACCCAGGAGGGCATCAATTCTCTGAAGTTAGCCACCACAAGGTCTCTAACTAACAAACATACTGAAGAAAAAGTTTCGAGCCTAAGCACAATAGATTTAAACATCCACACTTCCTGATTAAAAATAAAACTAGGCAGAGAGAAGTCTTACGCAAGAGGCAAGAGAAGGCAGGTTGAGCACACAAGGAAGCATCGGGAATACCAGCACATCAAAAAGCTTGAGATTGAATCCACTCAGCCCCGAGAAAGGGGCCACTCAGCAGCTACTGGGAAAAGGATGGGTGGAACTTGCCCACTTGGAAAATTCAATGTTACCACACTGCTAAAGGCAATCTTTTATTCTCACTATTGGAATAACATAGTAAAAAATACAAGAAAAGAGCCCATCGTCTTCAACGGTAAATGAACATGCCGTCCTGAACTTGTTAGGGAATGACCTTGTTCAAATGATCTCCAGATGGAAGATTCATTTTCAAACACCATTTTTATCCTCCTGTTCAGGAAGACTTTGAGATGAAGAAAGAGGGCAATAAAAATAAAGACAACTTACTTCATCCATAAGGAAACAGAGGCTGACTCAGAGCAAAATGGCATTTCAGAACACCTAGGCATTTAATTAAGACTGTTCTTTAAGACAACGATTTTAGCACTGGGGTACATGGAAATAAATGCAAAGCCCTTCTGGGGACAGGAGAACATGGCTTTCTTTTTTTTTTTTTTTTTTAAAGGAAATCAGTATTCAGTTTCTCTACTTTCATAGCTATTCTCTGTTGAAATTGATCTTCTGGGAACACCTATAATAGAAAGACCAGCTCTCCATTCACACCTTCCCTTTCACAATTACCCTTCTCCTTACCCATTCTGAATCTTAACCACAATGGTGCATTGTTCCAGAGTATAGAAACTCTGCAGTAGAAAATAAGGGAACTAGGAAACAAATCCTTTTGCAAGTCAGGTAGTTGTCAATTTTTGCTTTAAAAAATTGTACAAAGTGCTGATATCAGCTGGTAGATCATTAAAAATACATTTTGGTGATAAACCATTATGTGATTTTTTTGATATATAACTTAGAATGGAAATAAATGAGTAATACTGCTCATCAAACGCTTTTCATTACCATGTGCTTATCTATAAGAACAAGTTTTCTTAGTATTTATATTGATAAAAACAAAAAGTTGGATTAGAATTGATCTTAGACTGTTCTAATCTAGTACTAAGTAGCATTCATCTATAGATATGTAAACTACTTGGGAAAGAATCCCACTATTTGTTTCATTAAAAGTTTTTATTTTTTTATAGGTAATAATTAGACATTGACATTTCCAATATATTTATGTTCTTTTGATCAATTATGCACTAATAATAATTGTAATAAAGACGCCAACAGAAGATTTTAAAAAATATTTTGAATCTTTACAACAGAGAAAATTTTAGGCATTAGAAATTTTAAAATTTATATTCAGATTTTTATTGTAGAAATTCAATAAAACGATTTTGAACCCAAATCTTAAAGATACATTAGGATGAAATTCTTTGGGGGAGGGGACCAGAAATATAGTTTCATGAAAAAAAAGAAATAATTAAAATTCTCAACTCCAGTTAAAGAGCTTGTTCATACATTTTTTAAATGGATGATGGTGAGTATCACAGAGCTATGGCATTTAGATCCTACTAAATGCATTTACAAGAGTTATGTAAGAGTTTTATTTTTAAATGTTCCTATTTACAATACACCAGGATTTTCGGTCTTTGTCATTGTTTAAACTCATGATGGAAAACATTAGATTTCAATGTAAAAATATGTGAGATTACACATTTTTATAAAATTCTTTTTGGGGCGGTGCCTGGGTGGCTCAGTGGGTTAAGCCTCTGCCTTTGGCTCAGGTCATGATCTCAGGGTCCTGGGATCGAGCCCCGCATTGGGCTCTCTGCCTGCCTCTCTGCCTACTTGTGATCTCTGTCTGTCAAATAAAATCTTAAAAAAAAAAAATTCTTTTTAGGGGTTTATGCTCAAAACCAAAAATTAAAGGTCATTGGTCCAAAATGTCCTTTAGATCTGACACTGTAATCCCTTTTTCCTATTGTGTTCAGTTTATTTTTAAGATAATTAAGAGTATCGATGATAATAGCCTCTATCATTTACTGAGAATCACAGGCAGAACACTTGCTAGCTAGCCACTTTCTAGCTAATCCTTACAACTGCTCTGCAAGGAAAGTTTGATAAATCTTCCATTTGAAATCAAGGCTCATGGAATGGAAGGAAACCTCAGAACAGAGGCAGCAGAGCCGGGGTCTGAACCCAGGTCTACCTTTCCATAGGACCCCGTGCTCTTTCCATCACTCCTGTTGACTCTGCCCTTTGTAGAAGGCTGGTCTGGTCTAAAGATTCAGAATAATAATGAAAAGTCCATCCATGTTCTAATAACAACAAAGGATAGAATCAGCATTCCAAAGGATCAGAATTACCATTCTGAACATCCCAGAATTTGCCATTCACAGAAGGTCCTCCTTGACTGCCTTGAAAACTAACCTGGGAAACTTACTCCTCTCTTGATGCAGTCCCCATCCTTACACAGGGCAAAGCTGGCCTAACTGTGCTGGGCTGTGATTTATTTACATGCCTTTTTCTCTCCGAAACTGTGAAGTGGCTGGGGGAAATCATGCTCTATTAATTTATCTCTGTCTTTATGGTACCACGTGAGGTGCCCAGCGGCCAACAGGTGCTGCATAGCTCCTTAGCCATCGCATCTGACCCATCCAACCAGTTTAACTCTGGAGCTCAACTTGGGATGCCCATTAGAAAAATACCCATGGAAATACAAATCAAAACCACAATGAGATATCATCTCACACCAGTCAGAATGGCTAAAATCAACAAGTCAGGAAATGACAGATGCTGGCGAGGATGAGGAGAAAGGGGAACCCTCCTACACTGTTGGTGGGAATGCAAGCTGGTGTAACCACTCTGGAAAACAGCATGGAGGTTCCTCAAAATGTTGAAAATAGAACTACCCTATGACCCAGCAATTGCACTGCTGGGTATTTACCCTAAAGATACAAACATAGTGATCCGAAGGGGCACATGCACCCGAATGTTTATAGCACCAATGTCTACAATAGCCAAACTATGGAAAGAACCTAGATGTCCATCAACAGACGAATGGATAAAGAAGATGTGGTATATATACACAATGGAATACTATGCAGCCATCAAAAGAAATGAAATCTTGCCATTTGCGACGACGTGGATGGAACTAGAGGGTATCATGCTTAGCGAAATAAGTCAATCGGAGAAAGACAGCTATCATATGATCTCCCTGATATGAGGGAGAGGAGATGCAACATGGGGGGTTAAGGGGGTAGGAGAAGAGCAAATGGAACAAGATGGAATTGGGAGGGAGACAAACCATAAGTGACTCTTAATCTCACAAAACAAACTGAGGGTTGATGGGGGAAGGGGGGTTGGGAGGGGGGGTGGGATTATGGACACTGGGGAGGGTATGTGCTATGGTGAGTGCTGTGAAGTATGTAAACCTGGCGATTCACAGACCTGTACCCCTGGGGATAAAAATATATGTTTATAAAAAATAAAGTTAAAAAAAAAAGAAAAAAAAAAAAGAAAAATACCCATGAAAAATCCTGACTCCTCAGGATGTACACCAGACTAATTAAAGCAGGCTCTTGGTGGGGCCCAGGCATCGCCATATTTTAAGACAAGCCAAATGATTCCAGTGTGCAGCCAAGGCTGAGAACCCCTGACTGGTGTTGGTGGAGTGGAAGCGGGGGCACTGTGTTACAAACCTATCTTCTGATTCTAAACCCAATACCCGTCAGATGGGGCATCAGCCCTAACTTCGCCTCCTAACACACCATGCAGGAAGACTCCTGCCTCAGCTGCTGAAACCTCTGTCTCCTTCTGGGGTGGCCACATCCATGACATGGCAGTCTATGCTTGTAAGCAACGTATTCAGTATCTATACTCTCTTGACAGCAGATAGACCAGCCTTTTGTTGGAGGACACGGCAGGGGGTCAGAGACCTATATCTCTGATGGGCCCAAGGCATGGATCTCACCTTGATCTTGAGCAGCCTGACCGGTATGTTCATAGGAGCTGGGCAAATGCTACAACGCAAATGGAATATATGTGCTTGTGTGTGTGTGTGTGTGTGTGTGAGCAGATATGTGTGCATGCTTGGGGAGTCCAAAGGGAAAGTATGGGCAGTGTTCTCTCTTTCCCAGGCACAGACACAGAGAGACAGAGCAGGCGGGCAGGACTGTCTTCTGGGCTTAGGACCAGATATCTGTGGAAAAGCTTCCCCTTCCAGGCCACCCTGAGAAGGGCTTTATGCATCCCACAAGCCGTTCTACTTCATGGATCACCTCGTACTGACCCCTCAGCAATGACTGTACAAGGCAGGAAGAAAAACCCCTGGTTGTCAGAGGCTGGGAGCAATTTCTAAGGCTCATGGGGATTAAAAATCTCTCTGTTGCTGCAGGAGGGGGAACGATGCCTTCTGTCAGTTTTTATTCAAGTGTTTCTTTTGAACATCAACCTCAGTGACTTTGATGTGAGAATAAATTAATTCCAAAGCCTCAACTTGAAATTTCCTGACTCTGCCTGTCTATTGTCTACCCACCCACGCAAAGGAGAAACTGTGGAACCTTGTCAGTTCTCAAGGCAGCAGCTTGCATTACACATTTTTCCAGGGAGTCTTTCAAAACAGTGCCTAGGCTTTTCAGTGCTTTTCCTCCTTTGGTATTTGCCCTTTTTAATGCTGAGCTGCCTTCTTTATACATATACGTATACGTATACATCAAGCTCCACTGAGCTGCAGAAGCCTGATTTTCCTGGACAGTTGGGCCAGTGATTTCCATATTATCCTATTAAAATGTTAAAAAGAATAATTTACAATAATTCTTCATGTAACCCCTAAGGTGTCCCATCTTAGTTTTATACTGAATCTGTATTTTCACATGAATACAAAATGCTCTCTAGGCTTTGCCTTTGCCTGGCTTTTATATTTTAAGGGGATAATTGCTCTAAAAGATATACGGGTCCCTGGGATTGTAGTATCTGCATCTTGCATGTGAGGTGACTAGGAAACAGGAATTTCAGCATCTTGTTCCAGATTATTCCATAAATCTGCTGCAGAACCACAGCCAAGGCTCTGGGCATTGGCAGCTTAGTTCCTGGTCAACCCACCAAACTTCCCTTTGGAATGCATGAGTACACTGCCTTCTTTCCCGAAGAGAGTCAACATTATTGTTAAGCATCCATTTATTGTATTGTATGGAGCACTTTACCTACTCCATTTCTTTTATGAGCATTTCAAGATTTAAAAGTTATTAAGAATCCTGTAGCTATCCACTCCCTCCTTTCTGGCCTCTTATGTATACACTAGTACACTAAATCATTTCTGTGCAAGAGATGACTGCTTTGGTGTCTTGGGGATGGCTGGAGAAGTTTCTGGCAATGGAGATGCAATTTGACAGTTTTTTCTTTCCTTGGTGGAACTCTCCATATGATATATACCCTCTCTAGGAATACTCCCTGTATTTGGGCCAAAACAAATCAGAGCTGAAATTCAAGTCGTCTTCATAGTTAATATCTCAAGGTTAAGTATAAGAAGTGTCACTTCAACAAGGTAATTTAAAATGCTATTGCCTTCTGTTCTAAATGTACAAGAGGGCAAATGTCAGCAAGCGCTTGAGTGTTTCAAGCTGTTTGATTTTACTGGACCTGTTTGTTCAGTCCCAACTGCCCTCAAACCCAGTTGAGTTACTGGCAATGACCAAGTCAAATCCAGAAAATCACCGGCAGGAAGAATAATGACGAGACCCTCCTCTTCCCCTGTCCTGTTTGTTTCTCTGCACATTGTGGTTCACTAGATTGTCTCATTCCCTATGTGCCTGGGGCAACAGGTTTATAATATTACTACCACTAATTATGAGACTAGAAAGAACAGAAGTCATACTATCTGAAACTGGAGGACAGAGTCACTTATTCTCCTGATTTAAAGGGTTAGTTTGTTGCTTCTTATTACTAACTGGCCTTGTTTTATAATCATACTAAGGGCACAACTGAGATTTACCTGTATTTATATTTACATTGGTTCTACCTTAAAGAACCTTTTGAACATGTGAACAACTTCACCTCAACCTGGAAATACTGAAAAGGCAAAATGCATTCAGTTTAATGTAATTTATGTCAATTACAATTCTTTTGGTGAGAAAGGTCAATATTTACCAGCGAGGGAAAATAAACATAATACCGATCTGATCCCAAAAATCAAGTTTTCTAGATACACACATATCAACACACACAAACACTCCCATGGGCACACACACATGCACATGGGCAGACGCTAATGTTACCAGTAGCTCTGAAATCAGTGAAACACCGTGTTTATGAGCTTCAGTGGTGGAATGAATTAGATCTGTGTTCAAATCCTGCCTCGGGCTGAGTGAGTGCACAGATTGCTTAACCTCCCCGCACAGTTCTCTCCTGATAAATAGTGCCTCCTACACAAGCCGGAATGTGAGGGTTAGACGTAATAAGGCCCAATGAACTGGTGCTTCTCAAAGTCCACCGTGCACACAAATCATCTGGGAATCTTGTTAACATGCCGATTCTAATTCAATAGGTCTGGAGTGGGGCTTGAGAGAATATTCTAAGTTTCTGGGTGGTGCTATACTGGTAGTCCGCAGACCAAGCTTTGAGTAGCAAGACACCTTCTGAAACTTCACAAAAAAGAAAGTGGTTTTGTAAGCCAAATAAGAAAGCTGAGAAAGGATTGTGGTGTGTGTGTGTGTGTGTGTGTGTGTGTGTGTGACCAAGTTGAGCATGGCATGAGCTCAGTTTCTCTAGGTGTGGAGAGGATAAAAGGTTTGGGCAAGCTTTTATCCCGTTTCTTCGTGAGCCTCGGTATGGGTAGCTGTTGGACCTGATTTCCACTTTGCTGCCCAGGATCAGCGAGGGACCATCAGAACCCACAGAGAGATAAGGCCTGAGCCAACTGGGAGTCTTGTACCTGTCATAGTCTTGGCAGATCTCCCCCACAGCTACCAAGGCCTTCAGGTACTCGTTGGGTTGGTAAGGGTGGATGTAGTGCAGGGAACAGCTGTTCCTGGGGTCCCCGTTTGAGGCTGTGAAATCTATAGCTACCTGGAAGAGAAAAGAAGAGAACAGGTAGATTAAAGTGAACGCATCTCACAGGCATTGTGATCAGCCACACAAAGGACGTGGCTCAAGATGGAAAAAGCAGCATCCTCCCAAGAAGGAAAGGGAGAGGAGCTATTAATTTGGTTGAGATCATTTCTGTAGTCTTTGATTATCCCCTCCCCCAGTGCCAAAACAGAACTTGAGATGGACATGTCGGTCAGAAAGCCCAGCCATTGCTGATCCCCCTTACCCGGCAGCATGAGTGCGGGTAGAATATCTGGTCCCCAGTTCCCGGTTCCCTAAGAAAAGACTTCTCTGCTGTCCAGGCAGGACAATTCCATCTCAGAGGCAGAGGTAAATTACCTTAAAACTAAATTCTGTGTTACTGGTGTGGTCTATCTCAAAAGCCATACTCCTATTTCCATGTGTGGCGAATTGCAGAGATGTGTTGACATGGTTATAATAAATTTTCTGCAAGAAGCAGCTTCGAGTGAGGCATTAGCTTTTGGTTTTCCCTCATGTGAGAGAAGTCCTGCCTATAACAGAGAAGAAGTCTGGATGCTCTGGCACCGTGACTGGGAGGTAAAGAAGAAAAACCTCTGTCTTGCCACCAAGTAGATACTATCCTTGAACTTCTTAAATTTTTTCTGACCCCTACAATCATTATCTAATTAAGAGTTGACTCACTTAACACTCTTAACAGCAGCAAACAACCACTAAAGGGTCAAGCCTGGAGAGTGCTAAAATGGGAAGGATCATTTGTTCTGATTTCCAACATCATTACCAATTAAATAAAAGTTAACCCAGCAAACACCTCTCAAAAAAAAAAAAAAAAAAGCTTTAGCTTGAGAGTGGGGAGTATGGGGAGTGGTAGGGAAAAGATGGGGGTGATTAAAACAAAAGGAGTTGTATGAAAAGCAGGAAATGTTCGTGTTACATCTCTTTTTCTTCAGGGCCTGTCAGGATCCACTCACAAGCTTACTAATGACAGAAAGCCTTTATTTTCTCTTATGATCCTGTGAGTGGGAATGTTACTTGTATATTATTTGACAAAATTCCATTATGACACATAATTGGAATGTCCCATTGGATTTACTTAGGGGGGAATGTCACTTCTGGAAGGACAGAGAAAAGGCGCTATGTGTTTCATTTCTGCTCCTGAAAGACGACCCCGTAAGAGCAAGGATGATAGGTGAAAATAGCCCCCATACCTTATATTGTAATGCTACAATAGAATCCAAGTGACTAGAAGAGAAAAAGCGATAGGCTAACAATTCACTTACAACCTTCCTTTTTTCTTTCGTGTGAGGTTATTTCTTCATTACCGGTTTTGCGTCCCTTTTCTTCCTCACCCCTCCCCAGGACTGTGTTGAAAAGAAATTTAAGCTGGATTCAAAATCTATTTTCAGAACACCCTGATGTTTTCAACAAAGGGAGTACCAGCTGATAAAATGCTAGTACTAACAGTGTTTCAAAAGGAAAGGTCGGGTGGAGAAAAATCACACAGTACTTCCCCAACCCTGAGATGCCCTTGCTCAGATAACAAAGGGACGGAGAGAAGAGCAACCTTTGTTAAAACCCTATTCTGTGTCAGACACAGTACTATCTGCTTTCCAGGTTTTGTGTTATTTCATTTTCATGAAAACACTCTGGGAAGCAGAGACTGCTATTCCTTTTTCTCGATGAAGATCCTCCTGATTCCCAGCCCAAAGGTGATGAAGTTTTCTGGGGGTAGAGCTGGGTTAAAACCTAAGTCTCTATAGCTCTGAAGACTGTTCCTCCATTATGCCATTATACACCCAAGGGAACATATATGGCTGTGGCTAGCATGCCAAGATGCTATTTAGCTATGTTTATTCCTATAACGAATGGAGGGGATTTAGCCTGGAAGTAAGGAGACAAGCTTAGCAGCAACTAGAGTAATTTAGGAGAGACGAATGGCCTTGAATGAACAGCTGTAAAATCAGACCAGTTGTAAAAGGTAGGAAAAGAGCCAGTAAAGTGTGTGTGTGTGTGTGTGTGTGTGTGTGTGTGTGTCTGTCTGTCTGTGCAATAAGGAGAATGTGTTATTGAGGATGGCTGGGGGTGATTTAAGAGGACCAGCAAAATCCAGCATCTTCTGAGATAGATTCCAGCCAGAAGGTAAAAGTCAACACACTGGAAAAAAAAGAGGAAGACAATAGGTGAAGGTCCTTTGAATCAAGGACTATGATGAAAAGTTCATGTGTTGGGGGCCTCCATGTATTTTGTGAATAAGAACAAGATGTAAAGCACTCCAGGACTCACCCATGGGGCCTCAAGCACACAGAGGTCCAAATATATGCAGATTATTTCTGGAAAACTTCTCTAAGAGGGAAACTTGGGAGGTACTTGAGAGACGGTGTCTGAAGAAACCACACATCTAGAGTCCTCCTGGTTTATGGATCTCAAGCACGCAGAGCCACCATGCTGAGCCTTTGGGTTCTAATGAGACACACTTAAGGGGTGCCGGTGCCTCCCACACACGTACATGGCCTTTAGAAGGTAAAAACAGTGCCGGGAAGGCTATGTGGAAAGCCAACTCTTTCCTACTGAAGAAAACATTGTAGGACTCTAGAGAATTCTAGAGAATGTGAGAAAGTTGTTATGGAGATAACCTTGATTCTGTTCCAATTTATCTAAAATGCAAATCACTGGCAGGTGTCGAGATGTTGTTATTAATAACCAGCACCTATGGCTCACAACCGCTCTGTTTACGGTGCTCTTTATCATGGATTGTCACAATCCTCTGCCTGTGCTTCTTGATGCTGCAGTTTAAAATTGTCCCATGTGCTGATTACCTGAGTATCAAGGGTATTCCATGGTAACAAAAGCATGCTGGCATCTTGGTGTAAAACTGGAGAATGAAACCAGGTAGGAGAAAGGCCAGAAGGGGAAAACCTCCATAAAGAAAAACAACAACTTAAGAGACCTAAATGTTCCTCTTCTCCTCCCTAGTCACGGGCAAGAGCCTCCAAGTACGCAGGCACCAAGTGGCAGCATCCAAGCCCAGGTGTCTCACCTGAATGAATATGTTGTGTTACGGGGAAAAGAGTATATAACGTCTGGATGAATACACGCAGATTCTGGCAACAGTAGATTTTAAAGTAGAGCACATATCACAGGAGGTTGGGACTAGGGGAAGGCTAGGGGGTGACGAGGGCATACATTTAAGAAGGCTTTCATTCCTAGCTGCCCCTACACTTGCATGATCTTGAGAGTGAAGGCCTCCTTTTAAACCTTGGACCCCAGGTGCCTCTCTTGCTTCCTCCTCATTCCGGCCTTGTTGGTCATTTCATTTTCTAACAACTCTTCATCCTCAGGCTTGGAATAATTTCCTTATGCTTAACAAATTAGCTTGTGGTGGAGGTGACAGTGAGAAGGGGATTGTGACCAGAGAGGTTTAGGATAGAAAGTGAAGAGGATTTGGTGACTGATGGATGGCAATTAGGGAAAAGGAGTGGCCACATTTCTTTGGAAATGGAAAAGACGGCATCTTGAAGATAGTAGCAGCATCTGAAGATCAGCGTTAGAAGGTTGTCGTTGGGCCACCTGCTCTTGGTAGTGATGTGTATACATACGAAAGGCCTGAGGGAAGTTTTATTTTCTTTCTGCAGGCAGGCCTCTGGGGACTAAGAGGTTTCCACTCCGTTTTATCATTGACTAGACAACCATGGACAGTCTTAAGGGTATGGCAGCTGAGAGAGCTTTTTTCTGGCAAGTGATGGTTTCTTAAATCTCCCTGATGAAGCTGGAGATAAAGAATCTATCTTCAGGAGGTGGCCTTCTACCAAGAATTCTCTGTGCTCTTTAAGTTAGCATTAGTGGAAGGAGAACAGAGCGAAAGGTTAGGTTTATTTTAAAAAGCAACAGGGAGGCAGTGAAAGACGGGATCAAGTTGAGAAATAAAAGCAAGAAAATGACTGAAAAGTGCCAGCTTGTGGAGGTGGCCACCGACGCCTGGCTTCCTGAATGCTGGTGGGCTCCCAGGGCGGCCATGTTTTCATTGTCGGATAGGAAGCATTTACGAAAGCCTGTGGTTCTGGTGTGTGCTCCAATCTTCTCAGCAGGCGGCCCGGGAACAGGCGCCGCCCGTGGCTCTCCCCTTCTGCCCAGGAGGCCTCGCTCATCATTAAGCAGAGCCGTGGAACAGCTTTGCAAAACCTTATAGAGTCAGAATGGGAAATGCTCCCTCCACTGCCACCAAGCCCTGGGTGCAAAGCTGCTTCCGGAAAGAGGCAGGAAGCCAAGGATAAGCATCTATCTTTGGATGTGTTAAGCTTCTTCTGTGAAAGGAGACCACTCCTCAGATCCCCTTGTCTGTCTGCGACACACAAGTCATTTGAAACCTCCCCCGTATTTTCTAAGGCAAGCTGCTGGGAATCAACCTCTGGTTAGTGGCCTAATCTCTGTAATCAACCTGCAGTCAACCTTTCTCGTATCATCTGGTGGGGCAGCTGTTTTCTTTGTTTGTTTGTTTATATTTAAATACAGCTTGGACCCATACAATAAACCTTGTAGGTGGAGATACTGTTCAGTCTGGACTATTTCTTAAAGGACAGGTTAAACTCTTGTGCTTTTCTATTTCCTCAAAACTCCACTGGGGGGCAAAGAAATAGGAACTAGATGAGATGGGAGATACCCCCAAGATTGCCTGGTTAATTTCCCACAAACTGCAAAGCATTCTCCTCTTCAACCCAGGGCTCCTTCTCATTTCTTGGAGGTCTACACCTCCACCACAGTCCACCAGTGTTCAGTCTGGGATATACTGTAAAGATTTAAAACTTCAACTGAGACAATGTGGTTATAGGATGCCCGGAACATGTTAGTTTCGGGAAGATTTCCTGAGAGAATTTGTCTTAGGTGATCCTTTTATTTAGGCTGGAAGGTTAATCTGGGAGGAGCCACATTCATATTAGAGGACCAAAATGTAGACTGTAAAATCAGAGATAAAGGAAACACCATCCTTAATGGTAGAAAATTACCAATACTAAAAATGGCCATCTGAAAATATGAAAAACAAAACAAAACAAAACAAAACCCACTTGTTGGGGGTCACTGGGACCACTTGAGAATCTGACACAAGATTTATATCCTCTTACCAGAAAATGTACACACTTAATTCTGCACACAATTTTGGGAGGTCAAGGCTGCTCCTGAGGTCAATTCTCATTCCTTAAGGATTTCACTAGCCTAACAGGTCATGTTTTCTTTTTCCTTTCTAGATTTTCTCTCTCCTCTCTCTCCTCCTCTCTCTCATGTCTTAAGACATAAACGTTTTACCTGGTTGTAATCACAGGGTAGCTCTGCTTTACATTCTTTTTATTTCCCTTAACATTATGTCATAAACGTGTCCCGTTATCATCAATCATTGTAATTATCATTTAAAATGACTTTACCATAATCCACCTAAATGAGGTACTGTAATTTACATAGCCATTATCTTATTGTTGGACATTTAGGTTGCTTACAGCTTGTCTCTGAAAATCTGCTTTACAAAGTACATTTTTAAATATCTGGAAAAGCAGTAACTTTCAAAGGAAACAGTGAACTCTTCTACCATTTTTTTCCCAAATACCTTATGGTGTCTGTCTCTTTTATGCTGTCTATAATTTTGTTTTGTGTGTGAAATTCTAGTATCTATTTTATTTTTGGCTGCTGTGCCATGTGCCAAACACAGTGAACTCCATCTCCCCCTCTCTAGTCTGTTTCTCATCTGCCCACCTCCTCCCACCTCTTCCTAGACTGCCACGTGACAACTGCCCTCAAGTTCTTATGATTTGAGGATTCGAATGAGGAGATGGAATGTCCTCAGGGGTGCCCTTGACCTCCCGAAATTGCATGCAGAATCAGGTGTGTGCATTTTCCAGTGAGAGGATATAGATTGTGTATCAGGTTCTCAAGTGGGGCCATGGACCAAAAAAGAATCATTGACTAGGGCTCTTTTTAGCATCTTAATCTCTTTCCCTCCACTGGGGCTTCTCCTCTGTTTATGGTCAGATTCTAGCCTGAAACCTCCCCTCTTTTAATCTTCAAGTTGCTCTCCTCCTTTTCCCCTCTCCTCTCCTCTTCCCTGCCAGCCTTTCTTGAATGAATAGTTACACCTGCTGTGTTCACTTCCTTACTTCTGTCTACACCCTAACTCCTGGCTCTCCCTGTCTCACGTTGCTGAAATTGCTCGTACATAAGATAATATGTGCCTCTTTATCACATGACCCAGTGTTTTATTCTTCATCTTCTGACTTCTTTCTCGCATATGGGATTATTGCCCTTGATCTCATAACATTTTCTTCCTGGTCATTTGAGGTACTGCCTTGTCCTAGACCTTTTCCTTGGCATTTCTTCTCCTACTGGTTGCCCCTCTTCCCCCTGCTGCCCAATGGAGATCTTCTACAATATCTGGAGACATCTTTCCTCTCTGTATTCTTCTCTCTGGACATCCCACCCAGACCCATTTGTGTGCAGCTTCTACCTCTCTCCTGAAACCCAGGACCGTATATATGAGTGCCGTTTCTACTGGGAGGCCTGGATATACATCAATCAGGTCCAAAAGCAAATCATCATCTCATTGGCAGCTCCTTTGGATTTCCATGTTGCCATGAATAGGATCGCCATGCTTTGTCAATCAGGCACAAAAGATCTGAGTCCTCTGGACTCCTCTTTCTCCCTGGTCTTCCATCTCCTCATTGGATCATGGGCCAAGGCTTATTGGACTCTCTTGCCACAGTGTTCCTACTGCTGCCCTGCTAGCTTAGCCTCTTCTTACTTGTCACCAGGACTATTAATCTCTTCTTGCTTCCCCTTCTGGAATCCCCTCACCACCTTTGATGCCTTCCACCAAACACTCCCAGTTTAGTTCCCTAAAGCATGTGCCCAATTGCTTTAATGTCCTGCTCAAGATTCTTCTGACCATTCCCTTAACCACCACATTACTTCAAAATTAAAAGCCTTCAAATTCTTAATCCAAACCACTTCTCCAACACTCCTCTGAATATACCCTATTTATGCATACTGACCCAAATATGGTTTTGATATTTATCATTAGAATATATGAATGAATAAACATTTAAGTTCATAGGAATGCCTTTTTTTTCTTTAGAGAAGTGGAGGTGGGAGGGTCAGAGTGAGAGGGAGAGAGAATTTTAAGCAGGCTCCATCTCTAGCACAGAGCCTGATGTGGGGCTCAATCTCACAACTCTGAGATCATGACCTGAGTCAGAATCAGGTGTTGGACACTTAACTGACTGAGCCACCCAGGCACCCCTGTAGGAATGATTTTAAAGGAAAAACCTAGTACCCTATTTACTCGTCTCATTTCTTGTTTTTTCCTAAAGCTTATCTCTCCTTTAAGGTTGAGGGTTCAATCCATTATAATTCAATAAAAGTCCCTAATATACCTCAGCCTGGCGCCTGAAGGGAAAGATGTTCCACTTCTGACATTCTTAAGGCTCAGTCAGAAGCACCAGGTATCTGTGAAAGTATAGAAGCTTTCTTTGAGCTCCTGCTTGTAAAGTGTACTGGTCAGAGTCTTGACAGGAAACAAATGGTCCCCTCACAGGGGATGATCCAGGAGAGCTTAATAAAAAGACTATTCAAAAAGTCTGAGGGGCACTAAGTCAATAAGGTAAGGGAGGAGGGGCTGGTGCTGGGGAGGTGCTGGTGAAATCCATTAAGGTGGTGCCTCCCAGCTGGGGAGGATCAGCAGGAGTGACGAAGGAGGGAAGGGCCATCCTTCTCTGTCTGTCAGGCCCATGGACATGGAGCTGGGGATGCTGTGGGGTGAAATTTCTGGTGTTCATGGGGGCTGGTTCCTTGTGGCATAACTCCAAGGGCAGAGTAAGTCTCTGAAGGTTGAATAAGGCATTGTTTAAGAGCATGGAATCTATAAACTCTAAAGCAGATCCAAATCAATAGAGCTTTCCCTTGAAAACCTATAAATAGTTTCCTGAATGGCTCCTTTGCCTAAGATTGTGAGACACTATTTCCGGTAGCTCTCCTATATGACATTGCTGGCTTCTCTATTCCCATTTTTGTATATCCAACATGACAGGGAGCCCATAGGACAGCTAGTGTTAGGTGTGGTGCTCACAATGAACATGTCTGCTACTCTCTGTGTGCACCTGCATGCAGTGCGCATGGGAGGACTGGGTAGGGGCATCTTCAGAGAGCCTTAGACTTCAAATAAATAACCAAATTCTATAACTAACTCATAACCATTAAGGGGTAGATGAACAATGCTCAAAGTCTAGGGGGGACAAATGCAGACCCATCTGAGATTAGAGTAGAGGACACGCTTCAAGTTAAGGAGAGGTTAGCCTATCAAACAACCCCTTAACTCATCCTCTTGGAACTCCCCCTTTTAGTCCTTTGAATACCACCATCCAATTCCCAGAAATACAGTGGTCCTGTCTACCCTCTTGGGCTTAAACCTGGACAAAAAAATTAAACTATCTGCCTTGCTTTCTTCATATGACTGAGCCAGTTGAGGGAGATAAACAGGGCTGAAATTCATGATTATATGTCTATAAGATGAGGAACAAAAGCTGTTCAGATTGTGTTTCTCTTGTTTGCCATGTGGCTTTCCCATAGGTTTTAGCAGAACTATTTTTGGCCATCTGGGGATGTTCTTTCTGGAGGTCACATCAGCCCAAACCTAGGAAGGTTTCAAATATTAAGTAAGTTATTCTAGGGCAGATGTACTCATAAGCTTGGTCTACCAGGCATCTTAAAAAAAACCCAGCCTACCCACCCAAAAACATACTTGGAGTTTATAAATCCCAGGTTCTCACAAGTTGTATGTAGGAAATGATCCTCAATCCACCCAGTGAGTCTAGATACTTCATTTCTCAACTCTGAAAGACTAGTTCTCCAATACTTTAGAATGCACCTCTTTCTTGTCTGACAAACCATTTGGATGGCTTTCTCTTGGCACTGACCATCTAGCGTTGGTGCTTGTGTTTGGGCTGCATCTGCCTTGGCTCAGTGGGACTTACCAGCATGGTGTACTTCCTTGCCATCCAGCTCATCAGATTATGGGATCTGGCAATATGCCTACTGTCCCATGCCTCAAGTAGTTACTGGAAGAATGGGAAGCATAAGGAGTTCCCAAACCACTTGAGGATAAGTGGCATGAATTTCCTGATATGACTTCCTGACAACCATACTCACTGGAGAAAACAGAAGTATGATGTCACTTTAAAAACATGATACCAGGGGTGCCTGGGTGGCTCAGTTAGTTAAGCATCTGCTTTTGGCTCAGGTCATGACCCCAGGGTCCTGTGATGGAGTCCCGTGTTGGGCTCCCTGCTCAGTGGGGAGCCTACTTCTCCCTCTCCTCCCCACTCGCTCTTGACCTCTGTTGCTATCTCTCTCTCTCAAATAAGTAAATAAAAAATCTTTAAAAACAACAACATCAACAACAACAGCAAAAACAAAAACATGATACCATATAGTATTCCAGCAATGAGATCTGAACAAAGCTGATCCAGGGTTTAATAAACTTGTGTCTCCTCATGCCCCCATCCCAGTGCCATTCCCCACACCTTGGTCTCTGAATATGAACAAATATGGAAGCAACTTACTGTAAACTGGATTTGACAGCCACCCATGATATAGTCCAAGAAAGAATGCATCTTGTGGATCTGTGTGGGAGGATGAAAGGAAACTTTTTTAGTAACAGCATGATCTATTTCCTTACCAAGCGGAAGCTTAATCTTTGGGGTTAGGCTGCTAACCTAGAAGAAAGAGCAGAAAGGGATCTGTGAGGAAAAGAGGGGTCCATTGATTTTGGTATTTTAAAGGAGAGAAAAAGCAATGGTTAATTCAGATGACCCTGTGAGGGCTGCAGCTACCTATGCCCCCTGCTCCCCTCTCTTGGGTTATGGGAGCCTCCGGTGAGATACTACACTTGGCATCAGTGTTGGTCCCCATGTCTAAGTCCCAGTCTTGGTAACATTCTTAATACCAAAAGCAATCTAGATTGGTGGCTGCAGGATTGGCAATGCCCTGAGAAGGCCTTTACCGACAGTTTCCCATTCGTTAGACTCCTGTCATGCCATGAACAATGAACTTATGAGCACTAACTCTAAGCCAGGGACTTCACATCCATAATTTCATTTAATTCTTAGAACCACCCTATGAAAATGGTATTATCATTATGACTGTGCCATTTTGTGGAGGAGGGATCTGAAGCTGAGATCACCTATCCAGTCGATGGTGGAGGTGGGGCTCTAATGATGGCCGTCTGGACTGCATAGTCCATCTTTTGGACCTCTGTGCTGGAAGTCAATATGCTCCCTGCTTTCTGCCCAGCCACAGTCATCTGTGTTCTCGTGTGCCTTACCGATTTCTGGTCTTCATTTCTGCTTCCTTATGATTCCGCTGCTTGACTCTGGGGATGTTCATCCACTTATTTATTGAACAAAGGATTTACTGAGCCCCCACCATGCACTAGATGCTAGGGATACGGTGATGAGAAAACCAACACAGTCCCTGTAGTCCTGGAGCTGGCAGACTGGCCCCTTGTACCTGGGCAGGCAGTACCTGTGATTTTTGACCCTCAATCCTCGGATTCCATCTGATGTTCTGGGCAGCTTCTGAGACTGACCCATGAAATCCCACGTTGGTATCTCTAGGTACCACCTCCAGGTGGCACATATCTCTTGGCAGACTTTTCTCAGGCCCGATGTTTACTTGCCCCTTGGAAAAGTGCCTGTTCCTGCCTTTTTTTTTTTTTTTTTTAATGCAAGTGAAAGTGAGAGCACGAGCGGGGGGTGGGGGAGGGTCAGAGGGAGATGGAGAAGCAGGCTTCCCACTGATCAGGGACCCCAATGTGGGGCTCAATACCAGGACCCCAGGATCATGACCTGAGCTGAAGGCAGATCCTTAACTGACTGAGCCACTCAGACACATGCTCCTGGCTTCCTTATGGCAATGCTTTGCTTGATGATTGGGACACCCTACTATTATTTGTATATCAAGGAAATAAGAACTTGGGAATGAGCTGAAATACCATAGCCCCTGAGTACTAAACTGTAAGATGAATCCATGGAGGATCAAAACAGACTTGCACACAGCCACCTAAAGGAGATAGACAACCACTGAAGTGGTTCATCTAGATCTTTTTTCCTGCTTCCCTGGGCACAAGGATGTTTTGAATGTACCTGGGATTTGATCTATGAGGTAAGATGACCAGAGGCATCTGTCTTTGGAAGAAGAGTTTATTTATTTATTTTTTAATATGGAATTTTTTTTTCCTTTAAGATTTTATCTATTTATTTGTCAGAAAGAGAACGAGCACAAGCAGGGAGAGCAGCAGGCAGAGGGAGAAGCAGGTTCCCCACAGAGCAAGAAGTCTGATGCCAGGGCTCCATCCCAGCTTGAGCCGAAGGCAGACGCTTAACTGACTGAGCCACCCAGGTGTCCCCGGAAGAAGAGTTTATTACTCACAGCTCCCTGGAGGATAGGAGGTATGTCATGCCACCCAAGGGTCACATGGGGAAGCACCAGTGTCAGTCAGAAGGCAGAAAGATTGAAAAGCAAGTGTTGGCTGAAGTCTTTATTGTGTTTGTGTGTGTGGGGGGGCGGGTATGGAATGAGTAGGGCAGGGAAAACAGTTAAATTGGTTTAGGATTGGAGAGTCTGAATAATTTTGGTGGCTCTGGGCTATAGAGGCGGTCCCTAATTATCTGAAGCCTGGACCCAGGGTGCTATAGGGCCATAGGAATATTGGCTTCATATGTGAGAGCTCCATAAAGGAGGTGGTTGGGGGTACAGGCTCTGGATTGGTTGGTCTGCATATCAAAGGTAGGCTCACAAACAAGCTCACAAGTTGTTTGCTATCTCCAGGAATTAGCTAACCCTGGGAGGCGCAGACCCTATACCTGTCCACAAGGCTCCAAGATGTTAAAGTATCAAAAACTGTAGAAAATAAAAGTCACAATTAATACAATGATCCCAATGGCTAATTCCAATACACTGTTCCCTAGTCCCACTGACTGATTCAAGAGGTGGTCACATCTGTCTTTCCTTTCCTCTCGCTCTTGCTATGAGAGGATATGCAGTGCCTGGCAGGAGAGAAGGAACCTGATATACACAGAAAGAAGCTAGATGACATTTAAGTCTTGTATGGTGGAGTCAGATAGGCATAGGTTAAAATCTCAGCTCTTAAACTTACCATGTGTGTGACTAGTTACATGGTCTCAGTTGACAGCAGAAATCTCAGGGTTCGGATACAAGTTAGACAGAATTCGTCATTGTTACTCTCACATAGTAAATACTCAGCTGGGGCCAGGGTTATTCTCAAATGTGATTTCAGAGGTTTGATTATTAGCATGTAGAATTTTCTGTGAAGCTAGAGCCCTTCTGGGAGGAGTTTCCAGGCCCCTGTAATCTTTCACCACAGCTTTGTGTTCATGGACCCTTGCATCATGGTTGAAATGTCACTTAGAAAACACTGAACACTGTGACGAGCATAAGGTAGAGGCTCTAGAAATGCTGGCTTACCCTTGGGGGATCTCCCTCTGATGCTGTTCTGGACAGAGAAGAGCCTGACATGTGACCAGGACTCACCATCTTTGGGGGTATGACTGTCTTTGTGGAACGGATGGTGGTATTGGGCCACCACTTCTCCAAGACCACCTATGCCTACATTTCTCATTGCACATCCATTAATACATTGACTTTCTGACTTCTATTTTAAAAAACACAGCTCCTTGACATTCTCTCCCACTGACCATACAACCTAAGCTCTTCCTCCCAGACAGCCCTAGCTTCACACTTCTTGAGAGGAACTATATACATACCTTGCACTGATTCAAAATCACAATGCCTGAGTTCTTATAATTCTTCTTCTTGGCTTTGTACTTGGGATTGATGCACTCCCACTGCACCTGCAACAGAAAGAAGGGGAGTCATTTGATGAGGCCAAGCCCCCAGATGCTTCAGCAGATGGGTCTGAAGGCTAACAAATGGTCTCTGTGTGATAACGTTTGCATCATGAGGGTTGGTTCAGAGGCATGGATGAGTGAGACTGATATTGGATGGCACGGTTTGAATCCTGGTCCCGTCAATTTCTAGCCAGGCAACCCTTAGCAAATTACTTGATTCCTTTATGCCTTGGATATCTCCTTTGTAAAATGGAGCTGATAATTGTATCTCTCAGGATTATTGTGAAGCCTTAATAACTAATCCATGTAATACATTTAAAACAGTGCCTGGCACTTGGGAATGCTTTCTATTAATAGGGTTGAATCGAGCAACAGAAGGAAGGAGACATATGTAGACACATTCCTAACACGAGTATTGAGTCTTAGTGTCTAGGAATTGGCTTATAATGTCAGAACACTGAGAGACATTGAATGCTGGCTACAGGAAGTTAGTGGGAATAATGATGAGTTTGCATAGAACCTCACTGAGAACTAAAATAATGGAGTGATACATAACACAATGGTGACACAGTAGATCTCCAAAGGGGATAGTATTAGAGCTGTAGGAGTGGCTGGGAACTGAGAAGGTAGCTGGGAAGTAGGGGAGTGTCTAGGGGAAGAGATATCAATCTTTCCGTCCTACAGGACTTCATGCGACAAAATCAACTACAAGTCAAACATCCAAGAGTCACTGAATGCTCCTGCCCACCATTCCATGGGAGCCGGATCCCTGGATTTCCACTCAGGAGACAAATTTTCACTCTCTCTGACAATTAGGAATATCTGAAAATAAAGCAATTTCTGAGGCAGATGTGAGTGGTGTAGACTGATACAGCTTTGACCTCCACTGATCCATTTCTCTCAGTGTTCATGCATTTGTGTAGGGCCCTCCCACAATGACAGTGAGCTTAGTCATGTGACTTCTTTTGGCCAATGGGACATTAGCAAAAGTGAAGTGTGCACAGGACTAAAAATGCCTGTGCATTGGGGTTTGCCTTCTTCCTGCTGCTGGTGTGTTATTACCACCATATAGAAAAGCTTAGGCTGATCTCCTGGAAAACAAAAGCATACACGGAGAAATGTCCCAGCTGTCCCAGTTGCCAAGGCACAAATGCATGAGTGAGTTCAGTTGGCATCACATAGAGAATAGAGAGGAGCTGCCCCAGGTGAACTCAGCCTAAATTGACAACCCAGGGAACTGTGAGTGAATAACGATTGTTGTTTTCGGCCAGGAACTTTTGGGGTAATTTGTTCCTCAGCAACAGATAACTGAGAACAGCAGTTTCTCAATACTGGGGAAGTTCCACTAGGGGCTGAGCAACCACATAAGGTTTGGGAAGAAAGGAATCCTGTACTGGCCAAAGGTCCTCTAGAACTCTTTCTATAAGAGGAAGGAATGAAAAAGAGGAAGGAAGGAAGTTAGGAAGGGAGAGAGGGAGGAAAGGAAGGAGGGAAGGAGTGTGGGAGGAGAGGACTGGAAGAAAGAAGAGTCAAATTGAATCTGAAATCAAGACATCTCAAACCCTGTTTGTTTGTTTGTTTGTTTGTTTGTTTTTTAAGGTCTCATCTTTCTATCATGGTCATGGTTGTCTTTCTTCCCTCTCTTAGGTTCTCTTCTCATTTGCTCTCCAAGCTCTCATAGTGCTTGATAAACAAGAGTTCCAGCTTGTCTCAAAGTAGGTCTAGTATTTTCAGACAAAACACTCCAAGTTCCTCTCAAATCCATCAAAACTGAAATTGCCTTTCCCCCAAAACTTCCTCTAATGTCACAGTATGAACAAGTAGTGTAGGGATTTCCCTTAAAATTGGAAAGAAAAGATCCAAAATTAGCTGTGATGATTCCTTTGTCATTTTCAATAATTTCTATTAACCTCAATTTCTTCAGTCAAGAAGGACATAACTGATGAAACTTTGAGTTAGATTTCAAGTTATCTTAAGAATTATAATGATAATTCATGGAAAGTCTACTCATTTCCAACTTAGGCTAAGGCAGACCTGTAGTGGAGGATGGGTTAATGCAGCCAGGCAAGGGCTCCAAGGAAGCTGAATCAGAACCTGCAGGTACTTGGGGGCTTTTACGGCTGTTGGGCAGGCAGGGGGTGCTGATGAACCGGGTCTAAGTATTTTGTATCTATCTTGGGATGAAGTTTTCATGCTATTATAGGCTATTTGCTTTACATCTACAATCTCATTTAACTCTCCCACAACTCCCTCTTAGAGATGAAAGATAAGGCTCAGGTCTTATTGGGATTGGGCTGGGATTCACATCAGTCTCACTCCAAAGCCTGGCCTATTAACATAGTGCTTCCTCTAGAAAGGTCTTGGAGGGGCTCTCCTATTAGTTTTTGCAAGTTTCCTTTCGGCCATCTCAGAGTAAGGCTGTTCATGAAGGCCTTCTGAGAATTAACCCAAGTTAATAAAGAATTTACCCTACAGAACTATGACTCTCATAGGAAGGTGCTTAAAAGAGGACGGCTCCTCTTTTCATCTCTGTTTCTTCTTACTGAGGTTTCTCCATTCCAGCCTCTATCTTCTCTCTCTATCCTCCATTCTCTTGACATTAACTACCTGTTTGTTGATGGCTCCAAAATACATTTACAGGTAGGCCTCCCCTCCAGTTTTCCAAACCCCATTCTTGAACTTTCCTCACATACTGGACCTCCCTGAAATAAGAGTTCCTTACTCAGAAATGGCACCAATGTTTACTCATCTATCCCCCTCATATACAAACCCTTAACACATCTTGTAGTTCCTGCCTCTAAAACCCATCTTAAAACACTCTATTTCTCTCCAGCTCCATCATCACTTTTTGAGCCTAAATTATCACCTCTTGTCCTGCCTTCAGTAGTAGCCTCCTGACAGATCTGATTTCACCGTCTTCTCTCTCTACAACGAGTTATCTACACAGTGGCCAGAGTCATTCTTAAAAGTTAAAACCAGGGGGGCGCCTGGGTGGCTCAGTGGGTTAAAGCCTCTGCTTTCAGCTCAGGTCGTGATCCCAGGGTCCTAGGATCGAGTCCCGCATCGGGCTCTCTGCTTCAGCGGGGAGCCTGCTTCCTCCTCTCTCTGCCTGCCTCTCTGCCTGCTTGTGATCTCTGTCTGTCAAATAAATAAATAAAAAATCTTAAAAAAAAAAAAAAGTTAAAACCAGTCATGTCATTCTCTAGCTTGGACCTCTCTGCACCACTGTCCAGTAGAACTTTATGCAATGATAAAAATATTCTACATCTGTACCAACCAAATTGAAGCCACAAGCCACATGAGGTTATGGAGTACTTAGAGTGTGGCTAGTGTGGCTGAGGAATTGAAACTGAAACTTAATTTTAATTAATTAAAAGTAAGAATAAAACACTCACATGTAGCTAGTGGTTCCTGTCCTGGTGAGCACAAAGCTGTATAGTTCTTACTACATTTAGAAGAAAATCCAAACTCCTTTCTCCAAGTTATTAGAATGTGCTTTTCCTGGCCCCTGCTTCTGTCTTTGACCACATCTCATCCACCCTCTCTGCTCCAGATTGACTAGTCTCTTCCACATCCTTAATCACACCAATTTCTTTCCTCACTCAGGACTTGGTAATGCTATTCCCTCAGCCTGCATGCTTTTCCCTTGCTTGTTACATGGCTGGCTTCTTTTTGTCTTTAAGGGACTTCAACTTAAATGCTGCCTTTTCAGATTATCCTTCCAGTACCACACCTTTATACTATATACACTTGTTCAGTTTTTTATAGCATTTGTCACAAACTACAATTACATTTTTGTTTTTGTTTATTTGATTCATGTTTGTATTTTATTCTGATGTGCAGTCATGACACACATAGAGCTTGGCACTTAGTAGGTGTTCTGTAATAAGTACTAGTAGAATCAATACATAAGAGAATATTTCCTACAGTGCAAATGTGCCCAAATGTGCTGAGTGATTGAACTAAATAAAATCTTTCTGGTATCTCGATGATACAGAAAATTATATAGCATATGATTAATTTCCTCAGTGGGACTTGAAGATTCATTTTTGCTTGTTTGGAAGCATTAGACTTTGGTTTCTTCAACTTTTATATATGCTATAATTTTACTTATTCTACCCTCTTAGGAACCTAAAGATGAAATGTTTCCTACATTTATTGATTTGGTTATTTTTACTTGTAGAAGAGAACAGACACAACTTCGTGAAACTTTTTAGAACTTTAATACATATTGATTAGATTTTGATTAGGTTAGATTATTAGATTTTCTAATACACACAGATTATTAGTATTGATAATTCATTGATTTATTAGTTCAGTTGGGTCTGGCTCAACAGAGCAACAATTTCTCTGGCTATCTTGTTATCCTGGGTGTGACTTCATTTATAATTTAGTGTTGGTTTTTTGTTTTGTTTTGTTTTGTTTTTTTAAAGATTTTATTTATTTATTTGAGAGAGAGAGCAGAAGAGAGTGGCAGGGAGTCTGACTCAGGGCTCAATCCTAGGACCACATGAGATGTGGTCAAATTCCTGGGATCATGACCTGAATGGAAGGGAGACACTTAACTGACAGAGATACCCAGCCCCTCAATTTAGTGCTGGTTTTGACTGTGGCCCTGAACCTTTGCATGCCTGCTGGTGGCAAAGGTCTGCGTGTTTCACAAGTTGCTTGGAATCCTGGATGTTAAACAAAGCACGTACAACAGGTTTTGTGGGAGCTATGTGGAAAGTTGCCCTTGATTTTCTAGACCAAATGTAAGTACTTGACAGATGGTCTGGTTCAGATTAAGCTTCAAAGTTCTAAAGAATGTTAATTTATTCCCAACCATTCTAGGTATATCTTGACCTTATATCTGAAAGAAGAGACATGGAAAATGAGTTGTGACATCCTCTGTAATCAGCACTTCTGACCAGGCCACGTATAGGATCTTATCTCTAAGGGAAAGACCTTTCCAAAGCCATTGAACACTCAACTGTCACTCTTTTCTGTTCCATGGGGACAGTGGGCCCCAGAGTAAGAAGGTCAGGTATTTTGGTTTTGAGATCCCCTGAGACAAGGAATTAAGTGTAAGTAGTTCATTTGGGAAGTAATATCAGGAAGTACCAACTGAGGAGTGGGGAATTGAGAATCAAAGACTGCCAAAGAAGTCTGCAGTCAGTTACCACTGTGGGCAACCAGGGCCGATTCCTGCTGGGGAACTCTAGGAACTGCATAGAACACAAACTCAGAGGTCTGTCCCCTGTGGGGCAAGACATCTGGGGTATTTACACTCCACCCCACCCCCCATTAGTTATGTGTTTAGTTGTGTGCTCCCTGGAAGGAGCTATACCTTCCCTCATACTTCACCTGGCTGTGGGCAGAGGCAGAATAGGGGCTCCAGTTACCAGAGAAATCCCACAGGCAAAGAGATACAAGTTTCATGGCTAGAAATTGGGCAGATGAACAATGAACAGGTAAGAACAGCAGTTACCTGGTTAGGGTCCAGAGGACAACAAATGACTGATCAGTTTACAGATACATGAATGTATGTGTGCCTGAGAGAAATGAAGAAGACATTTAGGTTGCTGTGTGGCATGATGAAATCCCTATATGCCTCTGTTATGTGCTGGGGTTTGGGTCCATGTCTCAGTATCCAGTGTGTGAGTGAAATGGTGGAGCCAAAAGAAAATCCTGTGGCCGTAATGAATATCTGGAGGAATCCAATAATTTCTCCAAAGCAGTAAATATGTAATTAATGCCACCAAGTCATGGAAAGAATAATATTACCATAAATAGATATTTGGGAAGCACTAGCTACATGCTAGGCATGCCTCTCAGTGCATACCATGAATTATCACATTTAATCTTCACAAAGTTCTATTAGGTAGGTACACTGATCACCTTCATTTTTAAGTGAGAAAACTGAGGCACAGAGAGGTTAAGTCACTTGTCCAAGGCTACACAGTGAAAGGAAATCAGAGATATTCTCATCTGACCTCTCTGTTTTACTGATGGAGAAATTGTACCACACTGGGGCAGTGTCATCTCCAAGCTCACACTAGTTGCTTTGGTTGGGTTAGTAGTAGAATCTAGGTACTCAAATCCCATCATGCTTCCAACTTGTCACATTTAATCAAATATTGATTTCTCTTCTCTAGGTATTCCATGTGTAGTGGTACTAAGGATACATCAAGAGAGAAGTGTCTGGGGTAAATACCATGTGTGATTTACCACCTACCTGTTTCCCTTCCATTGCTCCTCTCATCTCCTTGAATGTCGAGGTGAATTCTCCAATGAAGTCATGCTTGCCATTGGAGTCCCAGTCCCATACTATGCACTGCAAGAGGAGAGGAAGTATCTCTTAAAAAAAAAATCAAGAATGAATCCACAGTTGCTGAAGGCAGTGTGAGGAAGACCTGATGAGAGATGCGTAGTCTGGAACAAAAACCCAACACTCCAGAATTGTGGCATATGAGATATATGATGTCTTTGGTTTCTATAGTTGCTTTATTTTTTTAAATTAAGTTTTTAATTTAATTTAATTTTTTAAAAAATTTATTTATTTATTTGAGAGAGAGAGAGAGAACACAAGCATGAGCAGTGAGGAGGGGCAGAGGGAAAGGGAGAAGCAGACTCCATTAAGGAGGGAGCCCAACAGGGGTGGGGCTCGATCCCAGGACCCTGAGATCATGACCTAAGCCTAAGGCAGACACTTAATGAACTGAGCCACCCAGGTGCCTCTTTTTGATGGCATCCTTTTTTAAAAAAGTTTTTAAAATTTTTTCCGTGTTCCAAGATTCATTGTCTATGCACCACACCCAGTGCTCCATGTAATACGTGCCCTCCTTAATACCCACCACCAGGCTCACCCATCTCCCCACAACCCCTCCCTTCCAAAACCCTTAGTTTGTTTCTCAGAGTCTATAGTCTCTCATGGTTCGTCTCCCCCTTGGATTTACCCCAATTCACTTGAAGAAAAACAAATTTCTCAACTTTTGCTTTCTCTTTCAGTGTGAAGGCTATGGTAGATAATTCTTCTTCTTGGAAAACATATTAATAAGTCCTTTGGTGATGAAGAAGACTGTATTAGAATAAATCAAAATGGAAGAGGTTAAGACAAAAGGAGCTCAACTGCTCTGCTGAATAAAATAATATCAAGTTGAGTTTTCCCTTTGCAACTACAGACATGAACATAGGACCCAAGAGTATGAGTTGAGAAATTTGGCAAGGATTCATCAGAGGGCTGAAGATGGGCCTGACGTTGGAGTAGGAGGAGGTAAGAGACAGGTAGGGAACTTCAGAAACTGTGAGGTCTAAATTTCAAGGTCAAGTCATTTAGATAGCTCTTCTCTAAGACGCTCTCTCTACTTCCTCCTTTCCTGTTATCCCTGTGACTCTAGTAAATCTGCCACCCATAACAACATTATGCTAGTGCTGACTTGGAGAATAAAGGTGAGGGGCTATGTCCATGTTTTGGGACAAACAGACCAGAGAGCAGTGTGATATGGCCCATAGGGATTGAAAACTGAGGGAGCAGGGTTGCGGAGGGAGAGCTAGACAGATGACTCCTAGGAGTGGGGAATCCCACAGAAACACTGGGGAGGGTGTCAACTTCTGCAGTACATGGAAGTAGAACTCAAGATATCTTATCCAGATTTTGAAATGAATCTTTGACCCCAGGGAGTTGGAGAATTACAATTAACATTCAGTTGAAACCATTCAATGTACACTAACTTTTTGGTCACCACATATTGACTTAATTGGTAGATGCTACAAGTAAACTACTAACAGGATCTGTTATGTCAGTCTGAGTCTCTAAGTGAGGGAAATGCACAGCAGAGTCTCCAGGTGACCTGGGATGGACATTTGTATCTACAAGAAATAAATCACTGCTGTTCTCAGCCACTGAGATTGCTACCACATAATCCAGTCTGAAAACTATTTAAGTACTTAAATGTCTTAGGAAAAGGTATTTCAGTTTACCTTGTCTGATTCTAAAAGGGGGAAAACAAATTTTGTGAGGAAGTTACAAAGAAATAACAACAACAACAAAAAAGTGTTTCTCAGGAATTATACCTGTCTGGACATAAAGTTATCTGTTTGTGTAAGAGTATGTGTTTCATTGCTAGAAATGTTTAAGAAGAAACAGCAGGACTATGCTCCAAAAATGTGGTAGAGAAAGTCAAGTAGAGAATGTTATGGAGGATTTAGTGGGATGGTCTTTGAGTTTTCTCTAACTCAGAGATGCTAAGATTAGTTGGAGTAGTATAGGTTGCAAAATAACATCAATGAAAGGCAAAGCTCTTTCTGGTTGAAATGCTAAGCATACCAATGTTTGGTAGGAGGGCTGAGAACCCCCTTCTTAATTCGAAGCTGGAAGAAGTTCTTCCTCATTTATTCCATTGGATGGTGGAACCAATCAATGATTTAGCCATTTGGAAAAATGTCTTAGAATGTGCATTGTAAATATCGTGTTTTTGAACACTGCCCATTGATCTGCAGTCACTTACAACCAGGGGCTTTTCTCTTTGTTTGCCAATCCCTCCTTACTGCCTCTCCCTCCTTGTACATGTATGACCTGGGCCTGGACACAGAAAGAAAGAAGGCTGGTTCTTGGGACCCTGTTTTTTTTTTTTTTTTTTTTTTAAAGATTTTATTTATTTATTTGAGAGAGAGACAGTGAGAGAGAGAATGAGGGAGGAGAAGGTCAGAGGGAGAAGCAGACTCCCCATGGAGCTGGGAGCCCGATGTGGGACTCGATCCCGGGACCCCGGGATCATGACCTGAGCCGAAGGCAGTCGTCCAACCAACTGAGCCACCCAGGCGTCCCTTGGGACCCTGTTTTTAAGGATCCTAACTTTGCCTGGTAATAAATACAGCCACGGCACACCTGAGACTGACGCTCAGGTACTCTTCTACCTTGAGGAGCAGATTAAAGAGACAAAGGGAGCAGAAGCACAGGAGAGAAAAGAAGTGGAAGCAGCCTTTTAAACACTCTTCTGCATTGAGGAAGAGGTTGAATCTCCTTCCTTCTGACTCCCTAGTCATAGCTAAATATAGAAAAAGCAAGAAGGGATATGCAGAATACTTCAGCTTGTAACAGAATCTTAGGCAAAAACCACCTGTCGCTCCTTTTTTGCCCTCTGTTAGATGTCCCGTCATGCTTTAGTTACTTTCCCCCCTTCCACCTGGCATGCACAACATTCAGGACGTTTGTAATGTGCTATCTCTCAGGGACAGAGAAGGAGAGACCACTGACCCTCCACGGGCTGGAGGACGAGTCAGGCTTGACGGGACTCTAGTCCTGGCCTCCTGGGGGCAGGCCCTGTCAGTTACATGGGCCCTGCTTCTTTGATTGGCTAGCATTTCCCACTGTAGCAGATGCAGAATTCTGTTTTGACCTTTCTCAGAAGGGACCCTAAAGGATGGAAGACACAGTGAAGCAGAAAAACAAAAACATTCTTTCCGTCTCTCCCTGCCACGAAGCTGGCTTCTGACAGCTCTGATGCGGTTGAGAGAGGAACACATCTTGGTGAAAAGTAAACAGATCAGCTGCCCTGTAGAAAAACTGAGACTGAGGCAGGGTTCCTGGTGTGAATCAATAAGGAAGACTTGACAGATCTGTGAGAGATTAGCAGCTGGAACTCTCTATGAGCCAGAAGTCTTCTCAAGTCCCTGCATTTCACAGTGGAGTTTAGTATGCAGTCTTACTGTGTCTGAGCTCCACAGAGGGTCCGATCAACTCCCTCATTTTACAGAGATGGACGTGATGGCAGAGAAGTGAAATGGCTTCTGTGAGTTCATCCAGTGCAGGGTTGGGACTAAAATCCAGGTTTCCTGCCTACCTGATTTCATAGCTCCCACACAGATAGCAAATTATCATAATTAAACAATATATATATTGCTTACTATGTACCAGACTTTTTCTGAGAAGTTATTTTATATTTAGTTTATATATGAGATACATGCAGGAATTGTTATTCCTGGGATAGTGCCATGAGACAGAAAGACCAGAAATAAACTCACATATATATGGTCAACTGATTTTTGACAAAGGTGTCGAGAATGCAAAATGAAGAATAGTCTTGTCAACAAGTGATGTTGGGAAAATTGGATATCCAAATACAAAGAAAGGAAGGAAGGAAGGAAGGAAGGAAGGAAGGAAGGCAGGAAGGAAGAGAGAGAGAAAGGAATTCAGTCCCCACCTTTTCCATACACAAAAATCAACTCAAAATGGATTAAAGATTTCAACATAAGACCTAAAACTGTTAAAACTATTGTAAGAAAACACGGGAGAAAGCTCCTATATATATATATATATATATATATATATATATATATATATACACATATGGACTCATTTAATCCCCAGAACAATTTATTGTTACACTTATTTTATGGATGAGGAAATGGAGGCACAGAGAAGTAAAGTAAGTTTCCCAAGACCACTCAGCTTACACTAGATAATCTTTGAACTAAAAGCAGTTCATAGTTTGTCTTAACTGATAATCTTTTATGAACCCATGCCACTTGGTTTATGGTCTTTAATCCTTTATGGGAACCTTGGAATGACAATACTATTATTACCATTCATAGGTAATTGTCATTCACAGGCTTAGAGAGATTAAATGACTTGACTGGACGCCTAGAAAGTGACAAAGGTGGATTTGAATGCGTGTTTGTTGCCATAGCTGAAATATTTTCTAATATACTACAATGCCTCTTAATGGAAGCAGAAATTCAGAATTGAGTTCTTCTAAATTTGCTCTGTGTAAAAAAATCCTATTCTGTGATTAAAACTATAAAGTATTAGGATTTCCTGAAGCTCAATGAACACAACAAGCAACAGACAGGACCTGTTCACTGTTCCCAAGCAATAGGAGGCATAGACAGTATGTGCATGGCCTTTGGGGTCTTAAGCATTGTCTATGAAATGTGTGGATAGGTGTGTCTTGAGAGTTCACTATTCCATCCTGTTATTATTTTACATTTGCATGGAACCCATTATAAGAAAGATATGCTAACTTATTGTTCATTAGCCTTTTGTGATGGTCAGTTTTATGTCTCAACTTGGCTAGGTTACAGTCCCATTAGTTAATCAAACACTAATTTAGGTATTGCAGTGAAATTTATTTTATAGACACAGTTGATCAGTTCATAATCAGTTGATGTTAAAATAAAGAAGATTTTGTGGTTCCATATGAATTTTAGGATTGTATTTCTATTTCTGTAAAAAAAAAAATACCATTGGGATTTTGATGGAGATAACATTGAATCTGTAGGCCACTTGGAGGAGTATGGATATTTGGAATGACATTAAGTCTTCCAGTATATGAA